CTGGAAAATACCTGAAAAGACAAGTTTTATATATACTGGAACTAAACACCTTAAAAAAAAAAAAAAGTAGTCTTCAATAAAACCTGTATGCATATGGGGACATTTCTCACTCTTGCAAGACAGGTAACAATACAAGGAAAAATCTTATCTTTATTTTTTTTGTGTGTATGTGTTCAGCTAAGAGGAAAAACCAAAGTCACAAGAGATTGACCATTTTCTTTCTTCAACTTTTATTCATCCTAAACTAGAACCACTCACTCCTTGCTCTCCTTAATTTTAATAAAACCATTGATAACTGACCAATGTTCAACTCTCATGCTACTTACACACATATCCCCCCCCCACAACAAACTTCATTAGCCCTCTACTTTGAGTGGCTCTTGGACCTTATTGCATGAATGTTAGTTTAAAAAAAAAATAGTACCAATTTTGAGATCACAGGTTAAAAGTGGCTTAGATCAGAATGAAGTTAGCATGGGTATTTTTTATTGTCATGGAACACATCACATTGAAACACCAGTTCTCATATGATCACCAGTTAAGCAATGTTGACCTTGGTTAGTACCTAGATGAGTGACTAGTGGATAAATACCAGGTGATGTAATGGATAATAGCTTTAAATTGTTTAATTGGAGAGCCAAGTTTCAGTTGGGTTCATCTATTCACATATGAGCAAATAACTGCAGGAAAAGCATGATCCATCTCTTCCTTAACCTCAAGTTAATTAGTAAGACTTGTATCACTAAACCATTTACAATCTAAAAATATAGTTCCTGGCTTGAAAAGGTTCGTATTATGAAAAAAGAAAACTGAAATTTTTATAGGTCTTTCTAATTCAATTTATAAACCAGCTTTCATATAATGTTTTGGCCATTGTACCCCATAACTAACTGTCCTTCCACCTTTGTCACACACAGTAGTGATGTGGGTGCCATCAAACAATTCACAATTAGTGGATATTTCATATTATTACTCACCTCACCAGTGTCATTACAAAGCATCACTTTTTAACTGAACTTTTCTAAGACCCAGGATTTGATGCGCACAACTGAATGTGTTTCAACTCTCTTGGTACTACTTATAAAGTTTGCAGGTATACTATTTACATTATTCGGACTATTGTCCTCGTCTCATATTGTCACCATATTTATTATGTTTGTACGCTCCAGCCTTCTTCAATGTCTAACTGAGGTAGACTTCTAGTTCCACATTTAATGGATGTCAGTTATCTCCTGTTAATTCCCCCCTCCAAGTTCTCCACTGCCTTAGCCAGATATTGAACTCACACACTTTGGGTCCTGTCACTAACTGACACCTTTATCCACTGTGCCATGTATTCAGCTGTGTATGAATTTCTGGGTATTATAAACCTAATGTTTCAGGAAACATTTTTACCAGAGCTCATATTACAGTACTGGTTCCCATATTGTATTCATTTCTATGCTTGGTCGGCTCAGGAGATTCTTGTGGCCTAGCATATGTGCTGATTCCTTTCTCACTCCATATGTGGTCAGCCACGCCTGATTTTTCCACTTTCCCTCGTGTTACAGCTTTCTGGTGTTCTTGAAGCCTTACCTTAAGTGGGCAGCCTGTCTCCCCTTATATATTTCTTTCCACAACTGCACGGGATAGCGTACACACAGTCTAGTCAGGTTCTCCTCTACGCAATAACAGCAAAAATTGCAATATGAGCACTGGTAAAACAAATGATTGCTGAGACAATAGGTTTATAATACCCAGAAATTCATACATAGATGTTCTCAAGGACACATGGCACAGTGGATAAATGTTGGTTAGATCCAGTAACAGGACCCAAAGAGTGTGAGTTCAGTGGAGATAACTGACATCCATTAAATGTGGAACTAGAAGTCTTTACCTACTTACAAATGTAATAAATATGGTGACAATATGAGGACATATATAATAATAGGACAATATGATGTAAAAAAAAAAAAAATTAAGTTCTCTACTTAATGATAATAAATTATATAAACAGATTTGCAGATATATTTGTTCACTAGATCATGTCCATCTCCCCAATGAGAGAGAGAAAAAAAGAGAGAGAGAATATATATATATATATATATATATATATATATATATATATATATATATATATAAATAAAATGTCATTTGTAAACTATCTTACTACTGTAATTATCAACCAGCTTGGGAGAATGAAAGTCTGATTGGTGGCCAAGTGCATCCTGGCCATAGAATCTCAATGAAAGTCAGTGCAATGTGAGAGCAAGAGTGTGTGTGTGTGTGTGTATATATGTATTGTGAGTGTGTCTATAGGATTTCTTCAAAATATTTTTTAATTATTTTTCTCAGAGTCTAGTCTGCTTTGCATAGTTGCAAGTAGTTGAAGTCATGCTCTTTCCAAAGAGCATCAGTGCAAAAGAAATCGAACTTGGCTTTAGCTAATTTTACTTTGTTGCCCTCACATCACATAATCATAAAGTAATTTTCAAAGTATTCCTACCACAATGGGTAAGAAAAAACTTTGCAAAATAAATCCCCCTTGCAAGAGATTTTCAGACTTTCACAAAAACATACAACTTTGGAAATGATAGTCTGATACAAGGCCGCAATATTGGATCAAGTTCATTATACATCATTTTTTTTTCTAGACAAGTTAAAGAAGTTCATGTGACTGTTAAAATGTTAACTTTTAAATACAATTTTTAAAATTCTCATTTTATCTAAAAAATGCAATACTAGTGGAAGAATATATATATATATATATATATATAAAAATCAATTTCATGTATAGTATGACTCCTGATTTTTTTTTTTTTGTCAATTTTAACCCCTCTAGAAAAAAAAATTACTTGCATAAGGTGCAACTTGGTCACTGAAAATGCATGATAATTATGTTTTTTTTTTTTTTTTAACCTATTGAAAAAAGAAAAAATTACCTGTGTATAATTGTTTTTTTTTACTATAAAAAACAACTGAAACTTTATTGAAAAACTTAATGATAAAAACCATTAAGTTTTTCAATAAAATCACAAATTTATTAGTTTTACAAAATTGTAAACTCTTAATTGTGCTGGTCTCTCCCTTTTAGTTCTCCCGACAACTATGCTCTGCCAATAGCTCATGAATAATGGACTATTCCTTTTTGATGATTGCATGGAAAGAGGGGAAAAAAGACACTACTTGGTTTCAGTGAGGGTAGGTAGGTAGAGAGAAAAAAAAATGCCACTAAGCAAGTAACAGTATTAAATCTCTAATTTTGGGGAGGAATAGCAATATTTAAATCAGATTAACTTTCTTAACTTCAGGTCAGTAAAAATTAATTTCACTTTAAATTTATAAAAACATGTCTACACAAATACGTGTACTCACCATATATTACTATAAATGTTATTTTTTATATATATATATATATATATATATATATATATATATCTGAAATATAATGTTTTATATACTAGTTCTATATATATATATATATATATATATATATTTGAAATTGCAGTCATCTGGTGCTCAATTTCAGTCAAGATTGTTTTAGGTGTTGTCATAGAAGATTTGCATTGGCAGGCCCAACATTTTGCTTTGTGAAAATAGTTACCAAGAGCGCTAAAGGTTTTAAAATGCAGACACACAAAATAATTTGTAAAGGACACAAACATCGAAGTGATATTTGCAGATTAAATTCATGTCCCTTGGACCTTGCTTAAAAATCGTTTCTGTTGAGATGGGGTGGGGGAACCCTACCACGCTATATGTGTGTGTGTATGTTTTTTGGTACTAAGGAACAAAAAGACCAAAAGTAATGTCTTTATCAAAATCCAAACATTCTTCATCAAACAAGTCATAGAAAACAAAAGAGCTTCTCAGTTGAAAAAATGGTTGAAATTCCTTCTTTTTATACGCATAAGAAAATGAAATAGTTTTGCTGGAAGAAGAAAAAAAAACCCTCAATATTTTCAATCTGAACATTTGTTTTGTTTTTCTTTAAAAAAAATAAAAAAAATAAAATAAAGTTTCCCTCCAAACAGTTTTTTTTTTTTTTTTTTTCAGTTTTTCCATATTTTTTTTTTTTTTCTTCTCCCATTACAGTTTCAAAATGTTCAATATTGTTCTAAAGTTCTTTGGACATTTCTTTGTTTCTCCAAGAGTTTTTGGAAAGCAGAAAGTCTCTTTTGCACCCACCCCATAACAAAATGGCCGGCTTGTTTGCTTATGGGGAGAGGGTGCATTTATTGTCCTTGTATAGAGTTGCAATTTATGACGACTTGTCACTTGAAGGATGAAATGTGCAAAGCCAATGGCAGTTGGCGTCAAAGTGGCCTTGGGCGGCGGCAACGGCTGCATTTAGTCAGGAGTAGGGCAAGCTGTTGTGGTAAAAGAGTAAGGATGAGAGGAATTGTAGACGGGATCAAAGTAAGTGGCATGAGGAGCAGTTGGGGAAAATTCTGTCCGGCAGTTTTTCATTTTCAGGAAAAGAGAAAAAAATTACAAAATTGATGGTGGGGTGGGGGTGGGGTATGATAATTGCAACATTTTCATATAATAGATTTTTTTTTTTTTTTTTTTTTTTATTAATTCATCTACCAAAAAGAAGAAAAAAAAAAAAAAAAAAAAAAACACCCTGCCCTTCCTTTTCTTCTTTCTTTTTGGGGATTTTTTTTTTTTTTTTTTTTTTTTTTTGCCTTATTAGAAGCAGATTAGATGGCTGGAAATTTAGTGTCATATTTTCTTTTTCTTCAAAAAAAAAAAAAAAAAAAAAAATTTAAAAAGCCTTCAAAAATTTAAAATTATAAAATAAAAGAAGCATTTCAAGAACCAAGGTACAAAATGACAAAATTAAAAATGGTTGTGTCAATTTCCATTAGTCCCATTTTCACTTAATAACTTTTTTTTTTTTTTTTTTTTTTTGCCTCTTTCAGATCTTTGGCTTTGAGTCCTCGAATGGTCTTGCTCTTTCCTATTTACTCTGTGTGTATGTGTGTATGTGTGTGTGTCCCCCCTCCATCCATTTGCATTTAACACTTTGCTGTATGCAAATCTGGCAAGTCAATTGTCACGGAAGAACTACTGTCAAATTGCTGTAGACTGTAACTGGATTTAGTGTGACGTGATTTGTCCACCCCAGTAAAAAGGTCGTCATAGCTCAGGGACATCACTCGGTCATCATACAAGGACAATCTGTTCCTATTAATTTTTAGTGGCGTCTTTACTCTATTGCGTATTTTTTCACTCGGGTCTGACATTGCTTGCTGAGATTGTTCTTCAGGCAGCTGAGACAAACTCTTGTCTGAACTCTTCTGGCCATTTGGCGCCTGCAGGTTTTGTAACTTAAGTGATAATGATGTCGGTCGCCGATTTCTTGCGTCATTCAGTTCATTGTAGCTGCCGGCAGGGCTGGCCTGTTTCAACAAAAAGTCATTATATCTCAAATTGCTATGAAGATCGTCCGGGCTGGCTTCCAGTGATGAGCTTTTGACAGGAACATTTGCTGCCATCATCGGAACGTGTCCATTTTGGTGAACGCCTTCAATCCCTGCCAACCCCATTTCAGAAAGTCTCAGTCTGTCTTGGTTATTTGTGGTTGGCCCTGGCGAAGCGGTCAGGCCAACATTGCTCAACGGTTGCACCACAGTGTTGCCATTTTGTAGACAGACTTGCGTTTGCACGGGTTGCTGTGGGGAAGAAACAAGATTGATATAACCTGTTCTGTCGGACATGTTCCGCTCGTTTTTCTCACTTCCTTTGCCCTCAATGTTTGGGCTGCTCCGGGTTAGAAAGTTCTTGCCAATTTGTGTCAAGTGGTTAAGTTTGCTTGTGAAATCCTTTGACGTCTTTTTCAGCTTGAAACGGGATTTCTGCGGTTTTTCATTGATAGCCAGTTTGCTATAGGGAACCCCATTGCCAGGGACATTAGCAATTTTGGGTCGCACGAGGGGGCTGTCACTATGAACCTGGTTCTGAAGATACTGGATAGGTGCATTGCGGTGGTAATTAAGTGTATCATTCTGCACCAAAGACGTTTCTAGGTTGTCTGGCCCAATATCAAATGAATCCTCGTGGAATTGTGAAGAAGCACTCATACTTTGGTCTTTCTGTTCCATTTCCTTTTTGGTGCCAGCAGTGATCAACGTATTCCCAGACACTGCCAATTCTTCATCGCTTCGCTTATGGGTGTTCCGTTCTACAGTTGGGTTCCGACCTTGATGGGGCTGAATCACGCAGTTCGTTTTTGCTCGGGTGATGTTCTGGTATTTTGGCGGTGGGTCAGATTCTGAAGCAGTGAGTAACGAGCTGCTCGCTCTCGTCACAGAGTTTTGTTCTGGAGACATCCAAGAATTTCGGGGTTGACCGTTTGGCAAGGCCACATTACGGGATTTAGGCAAATTGTAACCAGTTTGCTTTTCAGGGTCGTAATCTGGAGGTGGACCATTAGGGGCGATGCTATGGTAATCCGGAGGAGGGTCAGACTCTGACGGTGAAATGGTCAGCAAAGTCTCCGTGGTCAGTGCAGAGACACTTTTGTCTTGCGGTGTCCAGGAATTCCTTGGCTGACCATTGGGCATGCCATCCCCACTGCTGCCATGACTGATCAGAGGAGCCATACTATTGTCCATTGGCAAAGAAGTGGCACTCTCACCAGCCACATTGGACAAACCAGGGAATCTGCTCCGGTGAACCATGGGAATACCAGTGGCATCTTCAGACACGGTGATATGTGCCGAGGAATTTAGAGTTGGAGTGACACCTGAAAAATACAACAAAAAAAAAATAAAATAGAGCAGAAGCAGAAGAGGAAACAATTTTTTTTTTTTTTAAACATTTCACCCTAAGCAAGGCAATGATGCCACTAAGATGCAAGGGGTTAATGGGAGTGAGGAAGAAAACTTTAGTGAGGAGAAAGGACAATAAAAGAACAGGATTCAGGAAGACAGAAGAAGGCAATTAATATTGCATTTAAATTTTAAAAATTGTTAAGTATCAGGGAAGCAAGAAATTGGAAAAGACTTTCAGAGGTGAAAAAAGAAACTATTAAAACATTGTTTCATCAAGCTATTTCAAGAGTAAAACTTAGTAGCATGCATAAATTTATGCAGTCGAGCTACTAAAGCTGGCTCATTAGAACAATTGTCATGAAAATATTTAGAGAAAAGACAGAGGGAAGCCATGTCAAAGCAATGGAATAGTGATTGAAGTCAAGATGTCTGGTCAGGACTACTAACATTACAGACCTCTTATTGGATTTTATATAGCCAGAGCATGAGGAGAGATTGAAACAGTGTTTAAATTAACATTTCTTTCAGAAGAATTACAGAATTGCCAGCCTAATTATGAAATATAATTCCTTTATAATTCCCTGATTTTGGGACATTGCATAATGGACTGACAGACAGTAGTGAGTATGTAGCTTGGTCAGTGTTATGATGTTGATTTGGGGTTAATAAAGACAAACGCCAAATAACACATAACAATAAAAAGGGGTTTATTTGGTTGGTAAGTAGGTACAGAAATCGCCTGAGTAGTCTATAACTAGCTCAGCCAAGAACTTCTCCGACTCTGTCTGTCTTTTGACATGCCACTATTTAACGTCTTTGTTGTAGACAAGTTCATCTTCAAGAGGGGTGGTAGGTTTCCTACACAACAGTCAGAATATAGATAAAAAAGATGAAGGAACAAAGAACACAGGTTGGAGAATAGAAACTATTTTATCATACAATATTACATCTCTACTCCAACTGTAAGAGAAGTTGTCATCATCATCTTAACTGGATCTGATATAGAGCTGGGTGCTGTGATGAACATACTTTAAAAATTAATGTTATCTGTGATGTGCCAATAATAAAACTGGCATATTATGACCTCCAATATTACTCAATGAAGTAGCACAATTTTACTTGAACCGCCTTCCAATGACACAAAATATAAAGCAATTTTATTCAAAAAATTTAACTAATTCAAGAATATATATATATATATATATATATATATATATATATATATATATATATGACATCTCATTAAATAATTTAGACAAGTTTTGTCTGAATAATTTATATCTCAAATAGAGGCATTATATATATATATTATAAATTGATTTATTTAAAATATGGTTTTTTTTTTCGCTACACAGTTCTAACCATGTTTCAAAAATGGAAGCTAAAAGCTACGAATTTAATTTTGTAATTAAATTAAAGACATTAGACATTAATTTCATCCTCAAGCGAATTTTGGAGTAACTTTTTAAAATTACTGGGTTTTAAAGACACAGCTAAAATCATAATTCACGTTTCCAAGGTTATAGAAAATATTCGTCCTCCGACAGGATTCGACCCTGTATCCTATACAGAACCATTTAGCTTGACATGTCTTTACCGATTTGGCCATGAAGGAGCGTTCGGAGGACAAATATTTTCTGTGAAAATTTCTCAGACATTCAGGCCAGTAAATGTTGTTTAATACTGTTTATTATAAACAGAGCATTTACTTAAATATTCGTATCTATAAAAAGAATGAATATAAACATAAAAATGTCTTAAAATATATATATATATATATATATATATATATATATATATATATATATATATATATGGGGGGCATTGCAGTCAATACCAAGTAGCAACAGTCTGTTGACCTCAATGTCCACTTTTATATAATGCACTATCTCTGATATTGAGCACTTTAAGTCATAAATATAGCATGCCATAAAACACACACACACATATATATATATATATATATATATATATATATATATATATATTTTGAAAATAAGTAGACAAAACTTGTCTAAATTATTCAATGAGACATGTCTTAAGGAAAACATGCTGCCTATATATATATATATATATATATATATATATAAAATAATGAAACACAATAAGATATAAAATGCCCAATGTAAAATAAAGTTAAAATTTCTACTAATATTAAATATACATTTTGTTCCTTGCTGTTTAGGTTTAGGCAGGAGTGTCTCTCTTTTTTAAAATTTTGGATTTAATGTAACTATGACAACAAAACATTTCACTTTTATTCTTTGCCTTGATAAAGTTGAAAGACAAAACATGTCGGCAAAAACTAAGATATTTTTTTTCCAATTGTCATTTTTATACCAATTTGTCTTCTACACAGAATTATTCTGGAAAATTTTACTATTTTTGTCATAGTAAGGCCTTAAGAAAAAAGGTCATTGTTTTTGATAGTATGAGTAAACTAGTATTAATGTAAGATTCTAGTGGACACAAAGTAGGGGGATCCTTTATTTATTATTAAGTAATAAACTGACCCCATCAAAACTATATAATTATTCCTATAGTAATAGATATAATAGGTAATAATTTTGGTGGGACCAGTTTATTACTTAATAAAAAAAAACAAAAAAAACTCCTATTCTAAAATTTAATAATAATAATAGTAATAAAAAATAATAATAATAGTAATAAAAAAAAAGACATAAGATATACTGTGACCTTTGACAAAACATGTAAATTACCTTTTGTTTGCCGGGGACCCAGTTTATGGCACAAAAAAAAAAAAAGAAGAAAAGGAATTGGTAAACAGTATTCAAATTCTCTTTAAAAATGATTGTGCACAATTCACACTGTACCCTCAGGAAAGGCATGAGTCCATCTTTTCTCTTCTCCACCACCTGAGTGGTCCCTCTAGCCTCAGTTATTAGCCAGTCTAGGAGAAGGAAAATACTGGATTCAAAAACTATAGAAAAGACTGAGGTGGTGGGGATGGTATTTAAAGATCTTTAGACTCTACTTTGAGGGGGCGGGGAGTATCATTAAAAAAAGCCTAAAGTGAAACTGTTGAAGATGTACTAACTCCAAGAAAGTTAAAAGTCCAACCTGGTTTACTTCTGGCTAATACCCTAAATATAGGCACCATGAGAGAGTATGTTGTGTGTGTGTTGAAAGGGGCATCTTACCTTTTTGCCTGGAATCCTGGGCCCAGAGGGAAGTCAGGTCCATAATTCTCTCAATGACACAAAAAGATGTCAAACGGGCTTCGGCATCATGATCCCAGCAATCTTCAATCGTCTCTTTCAAAGTATGAATGGCCTGAAAAGAGAAGAAAAATATATAGAAACAATAATGAAAACTGGAGCAAAAGATTAACCTCAATTGAGGTCCCTACACAAACAGTGTTCTCATTTCTTTAATACGTTTTTTTTTTTTTTAGTAAGCAACTCTCCCTTAAATTTGATGAAATCGTAAGCAACTCCCCTACTAATGTCAGTGCAGTTTAAACAACTAGTTTATATAAAAAGAAAAAACTGTAAAATTAAACATGCTATTTGATATGGTATTCAAAGATTCTATATTTTCAAGTTTACTTACATTAAATGCCTCTTCTCTAATCAATAGATCCAAGCATAAAACTAACCATTTAACTGACTTGAGTACTAATTCTTGTGCAAAAATTAACCAACTCAAGTAATGGTCAAAATTACAAGTTGCTTATTAAAAAAGAGTATTTGTCAATGTGATTTTCTTCATTGTCAAGGCACTCAATTCCATTCTAAATATTAAGCAACTAAAAAAGGAAAAACATAAAATTAGACAAAAATAATTACTAAATACTATATTATATATAGTATTCAAGAATTCTCCCAATTTTAACAGAGAAGAGATGTGTCAATCTAATTAAACTATTTATTCAACCCAAGCATAAGAAAATATCAAAGCAATCAGTCTGAATTCTTGTGAAAAAAATTAACTCAAATACTGGTTAAAATCCGAAGTTGCATATATTAAAAAAAAAAAAAAAAAAAAATTGTACTGCCAGATATATTCATCATGTTAAGTCAGAAAATGAGAAAGACCAAACCAGGAGAATAGTGGTAAAGTCAGTGTTAGATTTTAAAATTAATTATGCCTGTTTTTATTGTATTAGTTAAATAGAAAAGAAATTTCAGTGTATTAGATCCAAGCATAAAAAATAACTATTTAGTAAACTAGAATACTAATCCTTGTGTAAACATTAAGAAACCAAAGTACTGGTCAAAATCTTAACCTACTTTTATTTTATTTATTTTTATATATATATATATATATATATATATATATATATGGAAAGTCAAATACAATGAGATAGATAGCTATCACACATACAAATAAATTGTGTAGTAACCTCAACATCTTGAATTTGTCAAGTTTCTTTTTAATGAGTAACGAGACTCTGGTGTGCGCGCATATATATATATATATATATATATATATATATATAATTATTTATATATTATATGCGCGGTACTTATTAGAAAGTGCTCAATATCAGAGATAGAGCTAACATATTTGGTTGGATTGATGTGAGTTTGTGACCCTGGGTTTCACGCTTTTGCGATCGTCAGACAAATATATAATATGGTGGAACCTCAGTTCATGAATTTAATCCATTCCTGAAAGCTGTTTGTAAACCGAAACTATTTTTCCAATAGGAATAAATGTGGAGAAAAAAAACCACAGTATAATAAAATTAGAAAAGAAAAGCACAACATAACACACAAATATATACAACATGGCAGTTGACTTAGAAATTATTCCGTTCAGATTAACTTAGTTTGGCAATGTTATTTGAGAACCAAAATTTAGTGTGATAACCAAGTCATTTTTATCTTGAATTTTCTGTTTGAAAACCGATTTGTTCGACATGAGACATTCGAGAACCGAGGTTGCACTGTATATATATTTCTTAAAAATTTGCTAACTATATTAAGAATAAATAAAATAAATGCACCAAATAAGAAAAAAGACTGAGATGTGCTTGCCATAGCAAAGATGAAAGTAGTGATTGTCTTAGGTGAAGGAGAGAAACATAAACACAGTGGATAAACAAGTTAGTAATGGAAAAGAAGAAGAAAGGACTAACTGTAAGTAGAGAAACTGCATAGTTATCAGCAAAAGAATCCAAGTGACATTGGGGATATCAAAATCTCAGTTGCTATTGGAACTTAACAGGGTAGCATAGCAACGGATTTCTGGATCACATTTTCCAACAGTGTAAAAGAATCATGAAATATGCCTTCCAGAAACCAAAAGTATTAAGAAAGCAGAAAAAGCTGGACAATTTTCTCACAGACGAAGAAACATGGTTCTACAGACAAATCTAAGAATACCGCAAATAGATAATGAACATCTAAGAAGTCTTAAGGAAAATAGAAACAAGAACACTTATACTTCAAATCAGAAAGAGACAGTTGACACTTCCGGTACACATAATGAGGAAAGAAGGCCTAGAGAATTTAACACTCACAAGTGAAGCATGTGGAAACAGTGAATGTATAGTAGAGAAGAAACAAAAATAGGATAGGAAAGGTCCAAAAGTTACATAGAGAAATAAAGGATAGGAAATGGTGGAGTGTCATGATCGGAGACATCCGGAAAGGATATAACCCATAAATTTTTAAAACAAAGTTTCTCATTTTGAATTCAACAAATTTCGTATCTGGGATTGGTCAAATTAAGAAGAGATGAAGAAAAAATTTGTTAAACGACTACAAAAAATAAGAATTGCCTTCAGAGATTTTAGAAATTAAACCGTTTGTATAAAATCACTTTCTTTTTTCTGCAGACAATAACAATTGTGTCTAGCCTTACAACTAACTTCTGGAATTTGGTTTTAAATGTTTGTTTTTTTTTTTTTGAAACGTTTTGAGCAGGAACTCTGCAGTTAGTTCCAAACCATTTTTTTTTAAATTTATTTAGATTGCCTGTACTCATTTTGTGCTAGTGTTTCCTTCCACCACCACCACCTCGTTTCATTCAACGAAGCTGTCGAATTATACGGATGACTTTCGCTACTGTACAATGCACAAGACAACAAAAAGTGTAGGCAGGAAACATGTTTCAGCATAAGACTTTCATATTTTTCCATTATCAAACTATTTGAAGGAATATTTTGTTTTATAAGAGAGCGAGAAACAGAGACAAAGAACATGATGGTCGGAGACAGGGCATGAATGTGTGTTTATGACAAATGTTGCTTAAAACACACTATAAGATGGTAAGTCGAAATTAACTCGAATAATTCTCATCTGCATAAAGATTTTATATATATATATATATATATATATATATATAGGGAAGAGGTTATAGTAGTTCCATTAAGAGAAAAGTGTGTATATTAAAAAGAAGAGAGAAACCGCAAACGTTTTTGGTTGTAATGTGTATTTTTTTTTAATATATTATGCTTTATTTTCCATAATTTTGCTACACTAGTTTTCGGTCTCGTGACCTTCATCAGGCAAAGAGTGGATATTTCCACATATTATTAAAAGGAATTAATTTTTCTTATGTTTTTCTATGTTAAATATTCTCGATATTAGACATTCTCTTTTTTTGTGTTAGTTACCCAAATGTCTTCCTTGAACTGGCAGTGAAAGAATTCTGCATGAAGGGTGATAAAACAATTAAGACTGGTCTGAGAAAGATATCTATATTCTTATCTTTTAATGACCCCTGGGTGTTCTTTGATCTATTTCCATTTTTTTGTGTTTTTGTCAGCATATGTATACTCCCTCTCCATACATACATACTGTCTTATTATAAGGAATTAGTATATACATATGTATACATATACATCTCTTTCTTACAATTGGAATTAAGATACCATTAGTTAATGACCATTTTCACCTATGAATTTAAAATTTTCAAGATTTTTCAAACTGTTTATGTTCAGTTTGTAGAAGGAGCTCTCTCTCTCATTCCTTCCCCAACTAACCAGTCTCCTTCATATGAATACCATAAACAGTTTGAAAAATCCTGCAAATTTTAAATTTGTAAGAAAAATTTGCTCTTTTTAATGAAAATAAACATTGAACACTCTCTGTGAGTCAGTTTTAACATTTCAAATTCTATATTGTGTTAATAGGACTCACTTGGATTAGACCAATGAATTACTACACACACACATATATATCTATCTCTAGGAACCTCAATTTAATGGACTAATAGTGGGAAAGATCATCCATTAAAGCCGTTTGTCCATTAATTTGAAGCACATTTTTCGTGGCCTAAAAACATCCAGTACAGTATAGTATTATTGCAAATAAATGTAAAAACAGTGTATATGTGTATTTCATTTTTAAGTTACAATATAGTAACTTAAAATAAATTAAACACACTGTTACGATTGGATGCCTTAATGAAGGGCTTGGTAGAAAACAATACTGTATACTGTACCAAAATCAGTATAAAATGTTTGAGAGACAATGCATGTGTGTACATGACAAGGGCTCAAGTAAGCCACAGCGGCTATCTCTGGAACTACCAGTCTTTTGTCTGTTGATTGTGTCAGTAATCAACAGTGGCCATTTCTAGAACTAACGAACTTTGCTCATTATGTGCAGGCGTTTTGAATTCCAGCCGGACACTACCATTTCTGCGGATTTTGTCTGTTAAATTCAGAGTCTGTTGGTTCCGGGACCATTACTTCAAGATTTTACTGTGTGTAAGATATATATTTATTGTGTCAATTTAACTTTTATTGACTATTGCATAGACACAGTGCTTACCTGTAGATTATACTACAACTATGTTGAGCAGACCTTAGTTACAGTTTTTGAGATAGAGCTCATAATCTGGCATGATGTGTTATTGAATAAAGCCTGTACATTTACACCCTCAATCATGATGACTTATAACTTCATGTTACTGATGGCTTATAAAGATTGTCAACCCAGTGTATGACTTTCAGGCACTTTTCAATGGCGTAGAGCATTGCTAGTATCCCTCCAAGGCCAATATTATAATGTTGTTATGGTGAGAATTAAAACTTGGAATGCTTTAAACACTCAGCCATGCAGGCATGCAAAAATGAAGCAACAGGAAGTGAAGCAACAGGAGGTGAAACTCCAAATTCAAATTGTTTGTGTTCTTTTATCATTTTATTCTCTTTTGTTCACCCCCCACCTTTTACTTTAGGTACATTTTGGGGGTCAGTCACCATTTTAACCCTTCCCTCTTTAGCCCTTAGAAAGTACTGAAATCCACCCTTTCTATCCTTCAAATTCTACACCCAAATGGCAACATTGATGATTTGTCATGTTTCATCTTCTTTCTCTGTTGGCCTCATTTGACATCCAATTATTATGTGACCATTTGTTTAATGTAACCAACTTGTGGGCATTTATGCTTGCTAGCTTGTCTTGTAGAACCAATAATTGCATCTCAAATTTCCAGGAACCGGTTCTAGAAAGGCATGTAATCTTTAGGAATCTACTCTGTTTATTTTTCTTTTCAATCTGAGAATGAAAGAAAAATCACTTTATGTCATATCAAAAAGAATTAAACCATTTTGATAATAAATAAATGTTTTCTATTAAATTAAGATATTTCCAGAATGAAATTCTGTTCTCATCATATTTCTTTTCAGGACTATGATGCTTTTTAACTTTTGTATCATCAGCTGTGTTTATGGTTTCTCAGCCACATTCAAAGAGAATTGCTGAAGCGCCAAAGATTCAATGGAAGAACTATCCAAAATGAATAAAAGATTTGCAACATTTTTAACTTATAGGTTATTTCTTTTGGCAGAAATAAATTATGTTCGTCACAAAAAAATCCTCTTTCAGCTTCTGCAGAACTTAGAGTAATTGTATTAATTATATTTTTAGCTATTATATATCGGCTATCTTACTTAGTATAAAACGCAGATTGCGTGTGTGTGTGTCTGTACGTTTATATATTGGATCAGATTTCCTACAGTTTTCAACCGATTTCAACAAAACTTCACAGGACTATGTAAAATTACCTTGCGGTGGTTCTAACAGCGCCAAAAATTGGAAAAACACAATTGTTTTTGCACGAAATCAATTTGAAAACACGATTAAGAGGCATTAATGAAAGGGAGACAACTCATATCGAGTTATACTTATTAATATCGAGTTACCGAGTTATACTTATTATAAAACACAGGTTGGTTGTTTGTGTGTGTGTGTCCGTGTTCGTTTATATATGGGATCGGATTTCCTACATTTTTCAACTGATTTCAACAAAACTTCACTTTTTCTTTTGGCAGGTAGTGTTTCTTATTGTCTTGCACACTTTTTTCTTTATTTTTACAATCAGAATGCTTTAAAAATTCCATTTATAAGACAATTGTTTATAATAAAATTCTATTCAATCGGTAGACTCATAATGATTGAAAACAATGTTTTTGTTTGAGTTTGACCAATTCATAAAAAAAAAAAAAAAAAATAAAATAAAACTAATTAAGGCATGCGTGTCCATCAACCTTAAACAATAATCTTTCTCAATTTTATTTTTCAGTCTTTATGATGGTCGATACTTGATCTATCTCTTACTGTTACATCCCCGGGCAACGCCAGGCTCTACTGCTAGTTAATATATAAGATTATTTTCGGATAATTCAACAACCAGTTTGCTTATCTTTTATAATTTTAAGACTCGGTTCATGCAAACAGATAGGATGTCACCACTTTGTAGGACCCTTTTTATCACATGTTAACTGTCCTCACATTTTGTTATATTTTAATGCTATTGTAACTTCCTTCTTTCCAGCCAACTTATTGGTAGGCTTTAAATGTAATTCCTACTAGCAAACTACTTGCTACCTACCCCTCCCCACATCCCTCCCTGTTTAGACCCTGGGTCTCGGTCATATTTCTTCTTTCCCTCTATTTATCGCTCGTTTATTTTCTTATTCTGACTAACCTAGTCTCAAGTTTGTATTTATTTTTATGGGTTTGCCCCTTTTGGCTTTCAATAAACCTGCTGAGGAAAAAGAATGTATTCAGTCTTGATTGCCATAAGACATTTGACTGTTGAAAGTAAACACACATCATATCGCAACATAGAAGTCATTCTTTATTTTGAACCATTCCCTTTCTCTCTTCGAACAAAATCAGTTTTCGAGCTTGTAAAGCAAACTCTGTTGAGTAGGATAAGTGGGAAAGAAACCATTCTTTTTTTTTCATCTTAATTTTCTTAAACAGGATTTTTAAAATAATTGTATGGTTTTTCTTGGTACTGGTTGTCTTCTCCTCAGCTCCCATCATAGTGGCATTTCAGCCTTCCCCAAAATACAAGGACGTATGAATAAAATGTTGCATAATTTATATGGGATTGGGTGGTGGGGCACAAGCAGCCTGGAACTCTTGAGATATCTCAGGAAGGCTGGACAGAAGAAAACTGAAACACAAGATGAAAATAAAAAATTCAAAAAAAAAAACAAAAAAACTAATAAGCAAAGAAAACTTAATTACACTAATTTAAAAAGCAATTGCATCTGATTTTGATTTTCACCGAGTGCCCTCATAATTTCAACCTTTTGCCAGGCAAGACTAAGTGAAGGAAACAAGATTTGCTGATGTCATTGTCTAAATCTATCTTGTTTAAGTAGCTGGAAAGTCTTTGGTTAGAGCAGCAAACTGCCAGCTGAGAGGCTGGAGACACAGTGTTAGATAATCTCAGTACAAGTTTGGTTTGCTATTCACGTGTAAAATCTCATCTTAAGAGCGGCAGGACTTGAACAGCACAAATACCCAGTCTACCTGAGGAGAAGAAGATGTTAAGGGCATTTGAAGGACTGGAAGTAAAATAGTGCTACAAATTAAATCCAGACCGATAAATAGAACTCTTCTCATGAGGAACAAGTGGTTTTAACTTCAGGACATTATGGCGGACATGATTGGATTGCTTCAGTCACTCTTAAGTGACATACATGATATACGCTTGGGTGATTAGCTCTCTTTCAATTCATGGCTGACTAGGCAGAAGATTTTCCTGCAGTAGGTTTCCATTTCTTTTTGTAGTAGACTGGTTGCCAACAAAGGCTATAGATCCCAATCTCTCCTGCTATTCAACCCATAGCTGGGGGAAAAAGAGATAGATTCATTAATTTTCCCAAGAGTCTTTGCACATAACTGAATGTAATGAACCTAACCTAACTGGAATTTGAACTCAGCTCTCTATTCCAAAATAGGAAGTCAATTATTTAAAACTGACCATATTTGAATCTTTCCAAACATCAGGAAACAGAGGGCGTTTCTTATTACCACAGACCAAAATCTGCATCTCTTCAAATGAAGGATGGACACCCACTTCAGCTTGGTAGGGAAGCATATATTCAGGGACAGCAACCCCTAGAAAAGAAAAAAAAGAAAATAGTAAAATAAATAATTCACTTAGAAGTTCTTAAGAACTATAAAGCATTGTCTCGTCATGCAGTAGAAATATGAACATAACATTCTAATTCTCAATCAAAGTTAGGGTTTCATATTCGGATGTGAATTACAGAAATTTTTTTCTTGAAAAGAAAATGATTTTTGTTAAAGAGAAACTGGTACAATGCATTTAATTCTCACCAACTTATAATCAGCAATAAAAAAAAAATAAAAAAGACCATGTCATTCATTTGATAAAGTTGGTGCCAACTTTTGGGAGTGGTGGGTTGAGGAACAAACGACCACATTGATTGGCAATAGGAAGTGGGAGGGAACGTCATGTAACGAGTAGAGATGCTTACCTTCTGCACCAACTCCATGTTGATTTAAAAGCAGAAATTGCTTATAAATGAGGTCTCCTCAGTGGCTGATGCACAGATTTAGTAACACAGTTTGTTAGAGAGGAAATAATTATATATATATATATATATATATATATATATATATATATATATATATATATATATAAAAACAAAAAAAAAAAAAAATCATATTTCAACAAAAAAAAACGGTCAGCCAGGGTATTTCTGGAAGATAACATTTACAAAACACTGCATGTTTTGTAAATGTTATAGTGCTCAATACCAAGAGACAGAACATTAACAGTAATAAATAAATAAAAGTAAATGAACTGTTTTTGCCTTTATTCCAAGTTTCAAAGAATTTCATCCACTCTTCAGGAGACTCGATTGTAAAATTGAGTTTATTTTTAAAAATCATCTTTTCCTTAAAATATGATTTCTGAGTTAAATTGAAGTATTTTAAGGAAAATATTTCTGAAAATAAAACCATTTTACACACAAGTCTCCTGAGCAGAGGATCTAATTCCATAAATATATGTGTGTGTGTGTGTGTGTGTGTGTGTGTGTGTGTGTGTGAATAGATTCACCTTTTTGCTGGTTCACACTCCTCCCAGATCTTTTGAACAGGGAGTAGAGGTTTATCTCTTGCTTCTTTTCAGAATTGGGTTTCCAGTTCTTTCTAAAGTTTCGTTCAATTCTATATTTCTTATGTCTCCACTTAAACTCTGAAATTATATTTACCTATTTTTTTTCCTTAATAAGAGTAGATAGGTTTGCCTATATAGTCCACTTCTCACTCCTCCTCCCCGGTCTTTTGAACAGGAGTAGAGGTTTATCCCTTGTTTCCTGTTTAGTATTGGCTTTCTGGTTCCTTCTAAAGTCTTTTCATTCTATTTCATCCCCAATAGAACCTTACGTCTTTGTGGTATATTGCCTTGCTTGGGGTGAATTGATTAAAGAAACGTGTTTGTAAAAATCAATATTTTTGCAAAATCCTTTGTTATTATCACAAGAATTATAAAGATAATATAGCAGATATGTAATGCAATTTCCCTCTGGTTCCAGTAGCCAAGGTCAAAATTTGAAATGGTAATTTTCAAGGCAAGCAAAGAAATTTAGTGTACTAGGTTTGCAAGGATGAACATTTTTTATTTATATTTTTTGTACAGCATTTCTAATACTGACTGTTAAAAATATTAAAAAATTTCTCAACAAAAAGCACCCCACCTCCAAAAAAAACCTTGCAATTTTTTTTATGCATCCTGATTCCATTATCTAATTCCTGTGAGAACGTCTATCATTTTGAAAGTAAGAATTTTTTTTTGTCCATTTGACTCACCTTGATAAAGGTCAGAGCACCTGCTTGCTATTTCCCAGACGACCAACCCTAAAGCGTAGACATCAATCTGTTTCAAAGACGCTTCACAATCTCGAAGATTTACAGCGCCATCCAACAGTTCAGGAGCCATGTAACGAATAGTGCCAACCTGTAGGGGGGGAAAAAAAAAGAAATGAAATGAATAGTGCCAACTTGTGGAGGGGAAAAAAAAAAAAAGGAAATGAATAGTGCCAACCTGGGGGGGGGGAAGAAATGAATAGTGCCAACCTGGAGGGGGGGGGAAGAAATGAATAGTGCCAACCTGGAGGGTGGGAATGAATAGTGCCAACCTGGAAGGGGGGTGGAGAGAAATGGTGCCAACCTGGGGGGGGTGGAGAGAAATGAATAGTGCCAACCTGGGGGGGAGAAATGAATAGTGCCAACCTGGGGGGGGGGAGAAATGAATAGTGCCAACCTGGGGCGGGGGAGAAAGGCAATGAATAGTGCCAACCTGGGGCGGGGGAGAAAGGCAATGAATAGTGCCAACCTGGGGCGGGGGGAGAAAGGCAATGAATAGTGCCAACCTGGGGGAGGAGGAGAAAGGAAATGAATAGTGCCAACCTGGGTGTGGGGAAAAAAAGAAAGGAAAAAAACAAAATGATACAAAATAAGTAACTTTGTTTGCAGCGTACACATCATTTTGAATAAGATTTCGATCAATCATTTAGACTTTTTTTTTTATTTTTTATATTTCTAAATAATCTTGAATTTCAACTTTTCTTGTTAAACTTGATTTAATTTCTTACTGGTTTATTTCTATCATATTTTTTCACTTGAATTTTCATGTTTAATCTTTCATTTCTTCTTCTATCTGATGTGTCCCTTCTGGACATGGGTGGTCATGGCTCTCCACAATTTCCAGTCCTTTGTAGCTCTTAGCAAAAAAGAAAAAAAAAACCTTTACTATCTCTCCTAATCACTGTTCTACCAACCATTTACACAAGTTCATTACATAGGTTATGCACTGCATTCCTCTGTCTCTCTTGCCTTCAATATGTCCAGTGATTTGGTTTGGTCTGTTTTACGGCATTATCACCCACAACAGGTTATTTAATGTCGACAAGATTTTTATTGCTGGTAATAATTTTTCTTCAAAAATGTATTGCTTGTAATAATTTTTATACCAAAAGTATTGCTGGTATTAAAACCTATTTTTACACTTTCTTAGTGTTTTGACCCCAGTTTGGAGGGTTAACTATTTGCCCATTGCTTGGACTCTAAATGATCAGAGGCCTTGCAGTCGGATGTAGTTTGGTTTGGTTTATGGCATATCAACCTCAATGGGTTATTTAATACCAACAAAATTTGTATTGCTGTTAATATGTTTTTCTTCAAAAATCTATTTCTGAGAATATTTTCCTTGAAGAAATCTATAGCTGGTAATATTTTTTTCAAAAAATGTATAGCTGTTTGCCATGCTGGTATTTTTTTTTAAAGTATTGCTGATAATAATTCTTCCTTCAAAAATTATTGCTTATAATAATTTTTTTTGTTATTACTACAAAGTATTTCTGGTATTAAAACATATTTTTATACAAGTTTGGGTGTTAACTATTTGCCCATATCTGGGACCCTAACAGGTGCTACCACCCTGTATCAGGGTAGACCTGGAAACACCAGCAATTAAGAGGTGGTTCCACACTCTTCAAAACCTCCTGATCAGAAGCCTTCCTATTGGCCATAGTTTATCATCATACCCAGGACAGAATATATCCTGTGAGTATCAAATTCTCCAAGCCATATTTCCACATTATGTGCTCTAGAAATTTTAACTGTCCATTTCTGATGCTGTATTATAAATGTCCTTTTTTTTTTCTAATTTTCTCTAAAAACTGTAGTTGCTCATATGTTCAGTCCATGGTATTTTCAGCATACTTCTGTAGAATCAAATTTCTATCGCTTCAAATCTTTTCTTCATCTGTGATGAGATTATCCAGCATTTACTTGTCATAGAGGAGGATTGAGATTACATTGCAATCCTGTATCCTTTTCAGTACACTTTCTTTTTGTTTCTAATGAAATGTTCCTCTTTCTTAATAATTTGCTTAGTTTTTGGAAGGCATCTTTTGCTATTTCAGTGCACCTTCTAATTTTGGTGTTGCATTTTTTGTCCTCTATTAAAACACTTTCTAGATATTTACATTTTTCTACTTGCATCTATTTTGATGAGTTCGCATTTTAGGCACTTCCTTTTGATGAAAACCATACCTTCTGTCTTCTTATGATTGGGGTTTAGTCCTTTCTTGCTTTATTTTACTGCCTTGTGTAGTTTCTGTCTTTGCTTTACCTTATTGCTCATTTATTTACATTTTCATCACAAAAGATCAAGCTCAACCTTGAAACTTACAACAACTCTACACTTGATTTGATCTGTTTTTTTAATGGCATATCAACTTCTTATGGGTCATTTAATACCGAAATTTAATTTTCTTGAGGACTTTGAAGTAATAAAAATATATGTTATTCTGCTTTCACAATTGAATACATGGTAGATGATACTCAGCTTTTGTGCATATACATGTTTGTGTGGACATAATTACTAAAAGGTGTTGATATGTGTGTGTTTTATGTAGTTTTGTTTAAGTTATATTTTGGAATATGGTTTGATTTCTTTAAGAAATTGTAGGATATTATATGGATTAATATCATGAAAGATTTCTTTCAGGTTGGTTGTTTGGTAATATTTTAAATGGATTTAGGTGAATTCGCTACAATTTGTTAGTATAATTTTTGGCATGGCATACAGATTGGAAATGGTTCTTGTGTTAAAATAGAAGTGTGTTATCATGGAGTGTCTGATATTAAATCGGGACATTATTACTTCATCTTTCCTTGTAAACGTTTTAGTAATACAAATCTTACTAATTAACCCATAACTGGGGGGAAAGAGGTGGATTCATACCTTTCCCCAAGGGTATTTGCACATAAGAAAATATAATGAACCTAACTGAAATTGGAACTTGGTTCTCCAATAAACAATGCCCAGCCATTATTCATTACATCACCTGCACATTTAAGCTTACAGCACACCTTGCATCTCTAAGCAGTCACCCATCTATGTACTGAACAGTTGTTTAACTTAAGTGATTGTACAGGAACCAGTGTTTCAACATGATGTGGCTGTAATCTTGAAAGATTTTAGAGAGAAAAGAAAGAGGGAGGGATGATGAGAGAGAGAAAAGAAAGAGGGAGGGATGATGAGAGAGAGAAAAGAAAGAGGGAGGGATGATGAGAGAGAGAAAAGAAAGAGGGAGGGATGATGAGAGAGAGAAAGAAAAGGAGGGAGGGATGATGAGAGAGAAAAGAAAGAGGGAGGGATGATGAGAGAGAGAAAAGAAAGAGGGAGGGATGATGAGAGAGAGAAAAGAAAGAGGGAGGGATGATGAGAGAGAGAAAAGAAAGAGGGAGGGATGATGAGAGAGAGAAAAGAAGGGATGATGAGAGGAGGGATGATGAGAGAGAGAAAAGAAAGAGGGAGGGATGATGAGAGAGAGAAAGGAAACGGGAAGATAGAGAAAGGAAACGGGAAGATAGAGAGACAGAGAGAAAGGAAACGGGGAGACAGAGAGAGAGAGAAAGAAAACGGGAAGACAGAGAGAGAGAGAGAGAAAGGAAACGGGAAGACAGAGAGAGAGAGAGAAAGGAAACGGGAAGACAGAGAGAGAGAGAGAAAGGAAACGGGAAGACAGAGAGAGAGAGAGACAGGAAACGGGAAGACAGAGAGAGAGAGAGAAAGGAAACGGGAAGACAGAGAGAGAGAGAGAAAGGAAACGGGAAGACAGAGAGAGAGAGAGAGAGAGAAAAGTAACAGTTCCCCTGTTACTTTCTCTCTCTCTCTCTCTTTTCTCTCTCTGAGTGAGAGAGAGAAAAGTAACAGGGAAAGTGAGAGAGAGAAAACCAAAGAAACACAGGGAGAGACCTATGCTTAAAAAAAAACTACTTTCTCAATACAGAGATAAAATGTCCACTTTATAAAAATGGACAGAGTCTGGTGAAATTGTAAACGTTGGTTTGACCACAGACTGACTGCACGGACAGGGAAACTCTCTTAAACAAGACATCTGACCACTTTCAACGCCACATAACAGAGAAATTCTCAAGAGGCAACACAAGACATTTAGCAAACAATTTCTAAATATTTATCAACAAATGTTGCAATACTACATCTTGGATTCAGACTGGTTTCTGTATTATGAGCAGGCATCTAGACCACACCTTCATTACTGCATCTTAAACCATTTTCTTTATTGGTTTATTTGTAAAATCCACAATAGAAATGTGCAGAGAGCATTGCTGTGTTAATGTAGTTGTGGCTACGTTAACATTGGTTAGCTAAAAAAGGAGAGCAAGAGGATGAAAATTGAGCATTGAGGGTAGGTCGGTGGGGTGAGGGGGGGAGAGTTAGGAGTGGGCAGAACTTGAAAACAGTTTGCAACAGGTGCACTGGTTTAGTGCACATGCCCTAATGAAAATACAATAAAACACAGTATGCAATATAAATGACATATGCATGAAAGATGACACACATACACAAAAAACACACACACTTCCCCTTAGAATTTCATACTATTTGCTTTTCTTGTTTGGCAGTTTTTGTTTTTTTGGGGTTTTTTTCTTTAGTAAGCAAAGATTACTAAATGTCAACACCGAATTATTCTTTCGGAAACTTATTTACTTACTTTTTCCTTCTTTTTTTTAAACTAAATTTAATAACAAATGTTTTCGAAAGATAAACTGAATTCTGTTCCTTTAACAAGATCAGAAAGAAATCTAATTTTGGCAAATGATGTTACAATTATTAAATAGATTAATTCAACGTATTGATTGTTAAAGACAACATTTCATCCATTTACCTTCTGGTTATCTTCAGGAGAGAGTAATATTGAGAACAATAGTCTGAGTAGACCAATGTATAATGACAATTATTCATTACTAAAAAAAAAAAAAACAATTAACTAAATGTCAGGTTAGAACTGTACTGTGGCTGGTTTTATTGTCACCGCCATGAATTCTTTTAATAAAACTGTATTATCCTTTTAATAGCTGTTTTTTCCCCTCACATGATAGTTGGCCTCAGTGCCAACATTGTCAAAAGTAATTATGACATCATTAATAATCCTCCAAGTTTTGTTCAGACAAACGCCTTTCTATTTATCACATTGTCTGCACACAATCCCATCTGCAGCCTGCTTCAATTGCAGAGTCATTAAGGGAAGATAACCATATTTTATGAATAATATTGACATTAATTCCTGACCACTGACAATACCTTTCTTCAGATTTTGTAAAGTTTTTCTGAATTAAAATTATTAATATGTTTATAGGGATATATTTTTTCTCCTTATTTTCAATGAATTTACATTATACTTATAAAATCCCTATTCTGGTAGTAATTTCATGACTAATAACAATTACTTTTGTCCTAGTATGTAATACAGAAAAATTTATTTCGAGAATCCCAATGTATATGGCTTATGGCTATATCACATTGAAACACTGGTTCTTAGATGATCACAAAAGTTAAGCTATGTTGAGCCTGGTCTGTACCTAGATGAGTAACCGCTTGAGAATACTGGGTGCTGTAAGCTTGAATTTGCCAATGGTGTAATGGATAATGGCTCTCCAATTTCCAATTCTGAGCTAAGTTCCAATTCCAGTTGTGTTCGTTATCTTCACTTATATACAAATATCCTTGGGAAGTGTATGAATCCACCTCTTCTCCCCCCAGCTATGGGTTAATCAGTAGGAATTGGATCAGTAAATCATTATTATCAGTAAATCATTCTTACATTCTAAAAATATTTTCTAGCTTTAAAAAAAAAAAACAAATTTATATATATATATATATATATATATATATATATATATATATATATATATAAATTTATTTTGATAGGGGGGATGCAAATCCCAATGTATATTACTTTGACACACATATATATATATATATATATATATATATATATATGTGTGTGTGTGTGAAGAATTACACTCTTAAGGTATAAGTTATGAAAGTATTTTCTCAAATAATGGTTGCACTTGCCTATTTTCTCCACTTGTGTATGGAGGTGGGGAGAGGTCATTTACTTATTTGCATTTTTAACAATGACCTTCTTTGCTTTGATAAAAAATAAGTTTAATTTCTCTTATAATTTAATTACATTCCTGGATTAATTTTTTTTTTTTAATTGTTTTATTTTTCATGAATACATACTTATTTTTTCTGAAGATCCAACACTTGCTCTCTCTCTCACACACAATTTTACTTGTATGTGTGTAATATATATATATCTGAAGAAATATAGTTTTAATGTGTGCTATATTTATGGGATAAAGTTCTCAATATCAAAGATAGAGTGTGTGTAAATATATATATATATATATATATATATATGGATGGATAGATAGATAGAGAAAAGATTGGGATAGAGACAGAGATAATGAAAAGTCTAAGATAGATACATAGAGAGATAATTTGACATAGATAGATAGATTCTGCCTGAAGATATAAAAAGCAGCCAAATGCATTAATGAGAAAAGTAGATTCTAGTTTATCATCAGATGTTTTGACAATGGTCTTGGTATTGATATGCCATAAAGATGGGCGACATCATATAACTTCTCTTAACCGTAAAGGATTTACCACAACACCTAAAATAACTTATCTACTTTCAGGCAAGAATTCATAAACTTTTTCAAGGTTTCTAGCAACATCAGGTAGGAGTCAAGAACCTGAGAATAAACAACAGGTGGAAAGACAACATCTATTCAAAGGACTGGCATTCAAAGACTTATCAAACTCCAACAAGAAATCCAAGAATTACAGCGTTGAAAGGTGAAGAGGGATAGATTGATCAATTTGTTTTTTTTTTTTATGTGTGTTATCAACCCTTTGCAAGTTATTTAAAGCCAAAATATTTTTGGATTGAAAGAATAATTCTTGCATTAACAACTGTTTCTTTTATTTAGGACAATAAGCAAATGGTCACTAATGCATCAATCATCATGAACTTTCCATTAAAAGTTCATAAAACTTTACAGTGAGCTATATGGTTGGATCAATGGCTGATGTTGATCCAGTACCTGAATGTAGGTGTATGTGCATTTGCTTATTAAGGATACATAGATCACATGATTGGGGTTCCTACAGCCCCACATTTTGCTGTAGTACATTAAAATCTCTCATTAGTAGAAATGGAGTTGGAAGTTGTCCAATCAGCCTTTCTATTTTGGTATAATTCAGTTTGTGTTTTGGAGGAATATAAATTGAACATATAGTTATTGTTTGATGAATTGAAGCTTTTACTGCCATGGTCTGTAGATTTGTGTTTAATTGTAGTTTTTCATGGGGTATTGATTTTTTTAATCAATATTGAAGTAAACCCTGCCACTCAGCCTATTCTCTATTGCTGATACATTTATTTTGTGTTAAGTTTCATATCCTTTATAAGAGATGTTGTCAGTTTCCTTGAATGAGAAAAGTCTCCTGTAAGCAGATTAAATTTGGATTGTAATCTGTAAGTTGTTTGATTTCCTCATAATTTGGTTTAACACCTTTATACTTCCAATGCATGATGCTTGTGTTCCATTTGACGGGTAATTATTTTTATTTTTCTGAGTGGATCATATGGATGACTATGCTTTTGGTTATCAATTTCCAGATATTCCAAACTATCTATATTCTTCGTTTTCCTTCTTTCTGAACTTGTTCCTCATTGAGTTTTTGCCTATTATTGATCATATGTTTTGCCTATTATTGATCATAAGTTTTACCTATTATTGATCATAAGTTTTGTCTATATTGATCATTGATCAATTATTATTGATCATTTACGTTCTTTTTATTTTGTTTTTTTTTCTGATTATCTTTATGCTGGTTGTTGTCCTGTTTATTGGCTTTTAATTCTGTTTCTTCTGTTTTTTTTTGGAATTTAGATTTTGTTTTCTGTTGAGGTTTGATTGATTTTTGTTGTCAGTTTTCTGTTTGATGAATTTTCCATATGAGAAGTTTTGAATGTTTTGTAGTTGAGAGATTGATATCAGTGAATTTCGTGTTGGATTTACATTGTATGGTGGTTAGTTTTGGTTCAGTGGTAGCGCTTGTTTCTGAATTTACGCATTTTAATGTTTTCAATATGTTTTTTAATTTTTGAATTAAGAATGTTCTTGTTTTTCATGTAATTTGTTTGATATTAAATTTTCATGGGTATTATTATTATTATTTCCTCATAATTTGGTTTATCACCTCTCCACTTCCATTGCATGATACTTGTGTTCCGTTTGACCATTTGAGGGGGTAATTATTTTTGGTTATGGATCTTAGGAATGACTGTTTTTGATTTTTGTATTAATTTATCCATATTTCCTTTCTATTGTAAGATTTCTGTTTTGTTATGCCATCTTTTTTATGACATGTTGGATTTCCGTTTGTTCAAATTATTCACATTTCTTTGTCTTTGTTTGGCTATTTTGGGTTGGTTCTTGTTTTTTTTCTCTCTCATCTTTGAGATAGGTCTATATCTTTTCTTATTGATTTGTGTTTCTTTTCCTTCAGTTAATGGGTTGTGGTTTAATTTGGTAGAGAGAGATTATTTCCATATTTGTTATGCTGGTTTTTAAAAGGTGCATGGTCATCAATAAAAGTATGAACTTGAAATGCGATTTGCAGGTCGGGAACACTAGAATCAAGCAGACATGGAAGTTTAAATATCTGGGAAGCGCTCTGACAGACGTAATGGAATGGCCAAGGACGTATTCCAAAAGCTGGGCAGAGTATTACAAGACAGGAGGATTTCTTTGGTAACAAAGAAAAGAATACTGAGCTGTTACGTGACATCTGTCCTTCTTTATGGTGGCAAATGTTGAACGATTTCCTTAAAGATGAAGAAGAGACTCGAGGCGACAGAGATGTGGTCCTACAGAAGGATGCTAAGGATAACATGGACCGAGGGTGTGAGTAACGATAAGGTTTTAGAGAGGATGCAAACAAGGAGGAAGCATATACTTAACATCAGGAAGAAACAGCCAATGTTCCTGGGATACATAATGAGGAAGGAGGGCCTGGAGAATCTGATACTCACGGGTTGAATAGAGGAGGAAGAGAGACCAGGGAAAACAATGCGTAACATACCTAGCGGGCTTAAGCAAGTGGATGACAGAATGTGGTCTGGGGGAGGAAGCAGAGAGAAGGGACTTGTTGAGAGCTGCAAGGGATAGAGAAATGTGGAGAGCCATGATCGCCTACATCCTGAAAGGACACGGCACATAGAAAGATTGTACAAAGCAATAGATATCCATTATGAACTACACCTCTGGAGGTGTTTAATCTTTCATGTTGGTATGCTTTTATATTAATGTTATGGAATTTTTTTCATGCTTAACAGTATCCGTGCATGATTTTTATTTTGTATTTCTACCAGGATGTTTTTTTTTTGTTTTTTTTTAATTAGTATCTTACTGACTTAGGCTTAACCATTGAGGATAGAACCCTATGTACTAGGAATGGTGATAATTTAGTGGGACCGCCTCTCTAGATTCTAGTATAATGAATCTAGGAAAGGGTACCTCAACCTGCTTTTGATCAGAATCTCCATGTAGAGACATTTAGCTTGGATTTTTCTTTCTGTATCAAGTTAATGAAATTATGTTTCACTGACTGTGCTCCCCATCCACACCATGGAGCCCTACAAGAGGAAAATGCCAAGGCAGATCAGAGCTACACGGTATACTCACACCATGATGCAGTAATAAGTGTTTAACCGCCAAAGTTTTAGTTTCCAAGTTAACTTTTCCCTCAGGCCTAGTTTGAAACAATTATCCCTGAAGATAATGATGACTTGGTGATACAAATTTTACTAATTAACCCATATTTGGTGGGGAGAAGAGTTCTTTTGCACATAATTGAATATAATGAACATGATTGGAATTGAAACTCCAATTTCCAATTCTGAGCCATTATCCATAACACCACCTGCCCACCCAACTTACAGCACCAGGTATTCCCAAGCAGTCACCCATCTAGGTACTGATCAGATTCAAAGTTGCTTAACTTTGGTGATCATATGGGAACCAATGTTTCAACAGAATATAGCCTGCTCAAACTTTCTTTTGCTTCTTTCTTCATTATGTATGCTGAAAATTTTAATAGATATTTGATGATATTATCTATGCTGAAAATTTTAATAGATATTTAATGATATTTTAATAGATTATGTATGCCGAAAATTTTAATAGATATTTAATGATATTTTAATAGATATTATATATGCTGAAAATTTTGATAGATATTTAAAGACATTTTATTAAAGTATGTATGCTGAAAATTTTAATAGATATTTTAAAAAATAAATAAATAAAATCCTCCCTGTCTTTGCCTAGCTTGGTGTATGATTTTACAGACTGTTGACAGGTATCAGAAGCAATTCCCAGGTTCAAAAATGTTTCTCTTCTTGTAAAAAAAAAAAAAAAAAAAAAGGATTAGAGAGGAAGACACTTAAAAGCCATCTTCTTCCATGCAACACATCTGAAATCAAATCCCATTCATCAACTGAAGTGACTTTATTCTGTATGTAAACAGGCAACTCTAGGAGGGGGTTGTTGAAAGGATAAAAAAATAAAACACATTTTCACTTGCACTTTATGAAGGCTGTAGAGTTGGGCTGATGTACTCTGTCTGCATGAACTTTTAACCTTTCAGATGTGCAGACATACAACCCTGAGGTCAAACTAAATACAATCAGATCACAAATTGAAAATAAGGGAAGAAAAGGTCAAGAATGACTCAGTGCACTTAACCTGGACTGGAGACAAAACCCAAGGGAGCCGTTTTTCTTTTCTTTTTTTTAAGGTACATTTTAACATTAACAATGAGAATACTGTTATATGAACACAAGAGATAAAATAGCTGACTTTTATAAGGTCTCCATTGATTACAAGTTAGACAATTTTCCTGGTCAGTCTTTGGGGAGAGAATTATTACAACAGCTATTCTGTGTGTGTAGGAGACATGAGGAAAATCTACCCTTTAACAGACAGAAGGCTATATCAAATATCTGCTGTAAAAACAGTTATATACAACCCCCGGAATAATCTATGTTTATGTGAAAAGAATAATGCTCATAGCCAAGTGGTTAGAATGTCAGCATTAAAACCATGAGATTCCAAGTTTGAATCTCAACACGATTGATTTGGTAAGGAGCTGAATCCTTGATAATAATGGTACTGGAAGAGAGGATCCCAGTGTGCGGCATTTTTGAGAAGTGCTTGAAAACCACACCACAGGTTGACCTAAGTCTTGTGAGTGAAACTGGGAAGACAAGATTGTTTGGAAGCTGTTGGTGATTGTACTTGCACAAAGTCACAAGTCATCATGGCTGAAGGTTTTAGTGTACTGGCCTTGTTCGACTGTAGATCATGCTCCCTCTCTCCCAGAAACTGTAACTAAGGTCTGTTCAGCATATTTGCAGTACTGAAAACAAACATGCCTTCACAGGTATCTGTGACAGGGATTAGCTAACCATCCTTTTAAAGTCTCAGAGACTTATAGATGCTTATAACTGTGGAGAGAGAAGAGAGAGAGAGAAGAGAAAGAGAGAGAGAGAGAAGAGAGAGAGAGAAGAGAGAGAGAGAGAGAGAGAGAGAAGAGAGAGAGAGAAGAGAGAGAGAGAGAGAGAAAAGAGAGAGAGGGGGAGAAAAGAGAGAGAGGGGGAGAAAAGAGAGAGAGAGAGAGAGAGAGAATGAAGAAGTACAGAAAGGGAAACTGAAGAAAGCCATAATTCTGAATTCTGAAACTACAAAACAAGCACAAAAATTTGCAGTAGCTTTTTTTTGACTAAAACATTTTTTTTAAGTTCGGTTAAAATTAGAATTCCTAGACTGAATAAACATTAACAATTATTTTTCATATAGCCTCCAAATACAAAATATAACAAGGAGTTGTGTGTGTGTGTGTGTGTGGAAGGTAGAAGAAAAACACAATGTTAGGATCTCCCAGCCATTATCTGCAGACATCGACGTTTATCCATAATGAAAAAGAAGGAACCCTAATCACAAAGCTAGATTTGTTGTTAGATTTCCTTTCTTTTCAATAAGGGAAAAAAAACAGAATTCATACAACAACAATAATGTGTATGCTTCATTATCATTTTAAACAAAGTTTGGTGGCAGTCAAAGTCAAAAGCTTGCATATACACATAACATTTCAACTTACATCAGTGAGTGAAGACTGTTCAGCACTTTCAGTGTGTCCATTGCGAATCACTTTGGAACCCATTGTCGTCATACAAAAGCCCAGGTCAGCAACCACGCAACTGAGGTCAGGTCTAATGAGCACATTGCGAGAATTAAAGTCTCGATGAGCAATGGCTGGTTTAAACTGATCTGTGAATAAAATAGAAAACAAGCAATTATGGAAAGATAGGAGCAACAGTGGGCACTGCATTCTAGATCACCCGATTCCTCAGGGTCCCAAGAAATTGGCAAGTAAAATAGGGATCAAATTTCAGTGTCTCTTGCACATGCAATACAAGACATAAAATTCTGGAAAATTGACATTTTAGGAGGATAAAATCAAATTACCGTATTTGATGGCATATAAGATACATAGGTGTATAAGAGACACCCCAATTTCAGTAGGGAAAAGTCTAGAAAAAATTAGTAATTAGTAAAATTATTAGTAAATGGTATAGCCTAAGCTATATTTATGAGGTATTATTTTGATTAAACAAGTCGTGATTACAATTAAAATGAAAAATAATATATAGGAAAAATAAGAACATGAGCCTATAAAATCTTTATCATATCCTTTATATGATCTGTACAACCTGCGTCTTGTAAACATTTTATTGGAATAATTAGGATATAAAAATTCTGATTGTATTTATACCAATGCAATCAGAAGTTATCGCAAGAAAAATATTAATGAAACAAATATGTTTTACAAATATATAATTTGAATTTATTGCATATAATTTGAGTGAAACAAAGTACTAATATTAAACGTGATGAAATTAATATAATGAATATTTTCAATGATAACACTTTCAATCAGTATAATAGTCTTTTAAATAATGACAATAGGTATATAAAAGTTACTCTAAAGTCTAAGCTAATAGGAGTTGCCAGGTAGCTAATTTCGGCTGACTATCATGAATTTAAAACCTACATTTGGTATATAAGACACAGGTGAATTTTAAGATATTTTTAATAAAAAAAGGTACACCTTATATGCTGTCAAATACAATAACTACTAAAAACAAAGAGAAAAACAAAACAAAAAAAAAAACAAACTTAAAATACAGGTTAGTTCTTGGCCCAACACACTTCCCCAACACCGGACAAAATAACCGGCACAAGAATTTTTTTTCTTTTTTAAATTCTTTCTTGCTCTTGTATATTAATTAACTAAATTTGACAAGAGTTGATACAACAACTTCTAATTATCTTTTTTGTTTAATTAGTTCTGTACCCACTGCAGCTGAAGATATGTCCTTATATACAGAAGCAGCAAAAAGCGTTGTCAAAAGAATAGTTTTATGATCTTTGTTTCTTGCTTGGAAAGATTCACTTCTGCTTTGAAAAGCTATCATCAGTTAGAAACTGTGATCACAATGTTTGCAGCATTATTTCTGATAACATTTCCATAGCAGCACTTGGCCATGATTAAGTTTTTTGTTCTTAATCGAATAGATTTTAGACGTCAAACCAGCATGTCACTCATCAAGTTGAACATGAAAGAATGTTCTAGAGGTAATAAAACACAAAAAAAAAAAAAAAATTAATGAACAAGACTGTTCTTTTGTTCCAATTTATGAAACTTTTGACAAGACAGCAGAGTGAAAGTACCAATGTAGTTCGAAATACACTCTGTGGCTGGAGAGAGCCGATAGACACTGCTAATATGAATTCTTATAAAATAAATATTTTATGCACATGAACCTGTAGAAAAATGGACAGAAAACATTAGTAGATTTCCATCAAGTTTTGTATAAAAATCAAAATTGTAAAGTCAAAAACTTTAGCAAAAATAAAAATTGATACAAATTTTCAATTCATAAGAAAGAAAATTAGAGATTCATTTTCTTCCCTATTTAATAACTAAGTGTCGGAATAGCAATCTTTAACCTTTAAGTTTTGTGGCCACACAAAAAAAAAAAAAAAAAAAAAAACAGTCTGTCAAAAGGGCAGTTTTTTCCTTGACACCAATATTATTTTAACTACCTTCACTCCTTGGCAATATTTGTTTTAAAAGCAATAATCAGAATTGTAATAAAACTTAAACATGAAAATCAATTTATACATATTTTTGTTCTTGAGAATTTACAACAAAATCATTAAAACACTTTATTTACAAGAATAATTTTATATTTACATTATTCTAAAAACTAATACAATTGTATTAAATCTAATGCAATGTAATAATTATAATTTACCAATTTATAAAGAAATATATATTTTTTTTTATTCATAAATTTATAAACATTTACTACATTATTAAAATATTATTTACCATTTTATAAAGTTTCAATCAGTTGGCAATTAGTTGATGTTTTGCTAACCATTCTAACAAACAATCTATATAATAAATGTGAAAGCGTGTCAAGCATTTTCAATTAAAGGGACACCACTCTCTAACTTTTAATAGCTCACATTACAGAAATTTTGGATTCCCAAGTTTTCATTACTGTGATTGTTTTTGACAAATTTTTTTTACGTGATTTTTTGTAACAAATTTTTTTGTATAATACTTTTTATAACTTGGAAATAAATTTGGGAATAATCAAAATTAATTGCAGAATCCAGCAAAAATCGTCCATGATTTAAAAAAAATTATTTGTACAGAAAGTAAGGACCTATGTACATCAAATTGTCTTTAAATTAAGTGGCAGCAGAATTATCCTTAAAATGTAAGCTTAAATATTAATGCAATACTTAAATGCTGCAATCAATTTTGAGTTCTTCTGTAGGTTATTGTTGCCTATCGCATTCGGCAGCACTATGAAAAAGAAATCCTTGACAAAAGAGGACTAGATTGCAATCAAAAGAATGAAGGCTGCAGCGAGGAAAAGAAAGTCATGAGCAAATGAAAACCCAGATCAAACTCAAACAGCAGCCAAGAGAGGCTTCCAATGCTGAGAATATGCAAAAATTTAGGGACTCTCAAACTCCTAAACAAGCCAAAGACCCAATTAAGAACCCTCCATAGGAGCTAGCTTAAATGCCACATGATTTTAAGCTAGTATGATAGCTAAATAGTCTTTACTATTTTTGTTATAAATTCTCAATAACAATGTATAAATTCACTTTCATATATTTAAGTTTTATTAAAATTATAATCATTGCTTTTAAAACAAACATTTCTGAGGTAGTTAAAATAATAGTGATGTCGAGGGAAAAACTGTACTTCTGACACATCATTTTTTTGCAAGCACAAAGTTTAAAGATTGCAATAATAATAATAAGTGCATCTCTGTTCATGAGCAGGAGTAGTGAGGAGCAGCAAGAGCAGGTGTTGATAAAGTTTATTTTTCTTCTTTTTTCAAGTTTGAAAAACAAGCCAACTATGGCAGCTTGGGAGTCACAGCTAGATACTTGGCAATGCGCTTAATCTGATACTGTCGTAGCAGACAGTGTTACCCAAACTGAAGTTGTTTCTAATTGGACCCCACTAGTAAAATTATACACTGCTTTTATCAAAACCTGTTACCACATTCTTCACATTTGGCTGTGATGCATGTGCTGGCTATACACTTATTAGAGTGGGTGTTATGATGGATATATTGGGATTTGTATGTTTCTACTCCAGCCTCCTAATAATAATAATTACCTAAAAATAATAATTACAAAAACAATAATCTGCAACAGAAACTTGTTAATGATTGCTCCATAGTGAGATGCCAAAGCATTTCACTGTGTTTGGATTAAGGTGGCACAAGGTCATAACAGATGAGCAAAAAAGAAAAAAAAACAAGTCAGAAATCTTACCTCCTTTATTGATGTCACAGTGTAAATGAGCCAAACCATGGGTAAGAGTAAGTGCAATTTTACACATCTGTGTCCAGTCCACAGTGTGGTCGCGTAAGTAGGCCATAAGCGTCCCCTTTGGCATATAAGACAGGACCAAGCAATATTGGTGTACACCATCTGAATTTATAAGTTCATCTGCACCGTAAAACCTCAGTAAGTTGTCATGATCCATGTGTGGCAAACTGTAGATATACTTTTCATTATTATAAAATTGTCGGTGATTGGCACTGAAGATTTTTATGGCCACAGGGTCACCATTCAATTTTCCTGACCATACCTCCCCATATTTACCTTTGGCAATTACGTCAAGCATTTTAACATTGCTCATATCAAAGCCAGGAGTGGTGCTTGGTTCAGGGTTCAGGGGCTCTAATGACGGCATACGTGGTTTCCAGTAAATACGATACAGGAGGAAGGAAATGATGATGGTGACACAGGCGAAAATTAATATACACAAGGAAATTATAAGAATAGTGGTGTTGTCATAGGCTTCAATATTAATTGGAAATACAGCTGAAAAAGAAAAGAAAATTGTTAAAAGTCAGTTAAAAAAAAAAAAAAAAGCTAGCATACATTCATATATTTTTTTTAAAAAAAGACCAAAAAAAAGAAATTTTCATATAATCTTATCAAGAAATAAGCAAGTTTCAAAACACGTATCCAAAACTTAGCAGAAGTGAAGAACAAATTCCATTTTTCAGTTGATAAAGTGGGAAAGTAAAAACAAAAATTATTTTTACTTCCATATCTACCATATGTGAAGATCTAAACAAAGGAATGTATTATTCACATTATTTACAGTTCGACTAATATCCTCATCTTTGTTGTTGTGACATTTTGGCTGATGTCGCCAACAGCTTTCTTCAAAGAGGAAATGTTATGATAGTAACAATAAAGAGGAGGACATTTGTTTGACTGTAAAAGATAATTCTTCCTTCCAGAAATTCAGAGAAAACCAATATCTACCATATTATTCCACCCCCAACCTTAATTCCAAAGACAGAAATTGTTGCGTACACTGGACCCTCTTCTAAGTGTTAGCTTTTCATTTTCCTGATGGCCCCTCGATCCAAACAAACTGACCCGCTTGTTTCTCTCACACTTTGCTTCTTCGGTTATATTTGCTCATTTTCTTTTCTTACTGGTCAGGCTTTCTGGAAGGCTCCATGCTTTGAGGGTCTATTGATTTCACTCCAGACCTCAAGTGGAACTCATATATATGATCGATTGCTAAAGATAATGGGAAAATGGCCGGCTTGTTCTAGATCTCGAAAAATAAGCAACTAGTAAACAAGTAACAAATGTGGTGCTTATTGGTCAGAGTAACTTTCAGGGAATTTTGAACTGAAGACTTTATTCAATTTATGGGGTTTGTTCTCATTCTGCTGTCGATGTTAAGAAACATCTCATCTCTTGATCATGAATCCCTTGATCCATTAAGGTCATAGGGACAAGACATGTACTGCAGCTGCAGTGGTGTTTCTTGGGCAGGATAGCGTGATGGAGCCCAACACATATGGCCTGGTGCCCTTGCTATTTACCTGGAGCTCCTTGATAAGATCCACAGAAAAAGCAGCAATATTATTAGTCCTGATCTGGCAGCTCGTCTTAAGTCACTTGCCCACTGACATAAGGTTGCCTCTCTTTACCTTCTTTTTAATAAATATTTGAAACGTCTACTGGGTTCTCTGTAAACTGCAAATGGAATTCATATATAAGCAACCCATAGCTAAAGAGACCAGAAAAATGTCCGGTTCACTCAAGTAGCAAATGCGGTGCTTGTTGATTCGAGTAACCTTCAAGGAATTTTGAATTGAATCCTTTATTATCCTGTTCTCATTCTGCTACCAATGTCTAGCAATATCTCGTCTCTAGATCACATAATCGCGAATCCCCTGACCTATTAGGGTTGTAGCGACAACGCATGTACTGCAGCCGCAGTGGTGTTTCTTGAGGAAGATAGCCTGATGGAAGCCAACCCTCTCCAAGGCTGGTTTGAATTCAAGAGTTTTCCTTCTCCCAAACAGGTTCTTCCCACACCTATTTACTTATAGCTGGGGAGGGGGGAGAAGAGGATTCATACTTCATAAAAGCATTGGTTGAATCCAGTGACTTGACCAAAAGAGTCAGGAGTTCAATATCTGGCTACTGCAGTGTTGAACAAAAACTAAGAGAGTTAAAGGGACATAACGGAGACATCAAGAAGAGACATGGCATGTATCACATTAGTCGAGCATTTACCATTTTCTCCATTGTCTTGCAAATGCAACTTGTTAAGTGCCATTAATGGTTCGGTAGTTTGCCGAGTTGGAATGATCCCTGTAGAGGTTTAGGAATTGGAAAGATGATAGACTCAAGTCATAATTCTGGAAATTTGTCTCAATACCAAATATCATTGAAGATCTGGAGAAGTATTAAAAGATTTTCATGGCAGATGTTTTAAAAATTGATAATGGATTGCATCTGGACCAGTTGCAGAGTTTTTACTTTTGTTTATGGAATCTATTACTAATAGACTCCATAAACAAAAGTAAAAACTATGGCAAAACTAATAGTATTAGTTTTGTCATAGTAAAGAGAATATAGTATTCTTTATTGTTTGAAGTTAATATAAGTTTTTCTTGTTCCATAATGTTTTTATATTTTTGAAATTTGAGAGTGCAGTGATTTGTCGAGGAATTTCTTTGAAATTCCTGTTGCTATTAGATTAACTATTTTTTTTTTTTCAGTGCATTTATCACCATTTGTTTTGGTTGATTGTTGCAGTTTGTGATGTTTTTTTCCATTAATTTTCCTTATTATTTCCCAGGTTTTATTTATTGGGCTTTTTTTTTTTTTTGTTTAATTTAGAGATGTAGTTTTTCCAACTTTACTTTTTGAATTTTTTTAATTATACAGTGTGCTTGCTAGTAATTTTGTAGGTTGATTGTGGTTGGGTTGTGTAAGAATATTGTTAGTTTTTCTTTCCTGGTTTTAACGATTTCTATGCATTCTACTGTGAATCAGGGTTTGATTTGGTTTAAAGGAAGATTTCAGTATTGTTTATCTTGCTATTTGTGTTAGTATGTTTGTAAAGGAGACTATTGGTTCTGGTTCATTAAGAATTTCTATATTGATTTACAATGAGCAGTGTTCAGTTAATTTTAGCCATTTAGCTTTGTATAGTTGCCATTTTGGATTCGTTTCTTCTGGCATAGGCTTGCCTATGCCAGAAGAAAATTTAGGAAAATAGGCAAATGGTCACTACTGCATTGGTCATCATGAATTTTCCATTAAAAGTTCATAAAAATTGATGGAGAACTATATGGTTAGATCAATGGCTGATGTTGATCCAGTACCTGAATGTTGGTATATTTGCATTTGGTTATTAAGGATATATAGATCATATGATTTTAGTAGAGATTCTATAATTCTACCAGATTGATTGGGGTTCCTACAGCCCCACATTTCGCTGTAGTACATTAAAATCTCTCATTAGTAGAAATGGAGTTGGAAGTTGTCCAATCAGCCTTTCTATTTTGGTATAATTCAGTTTGTGTTTTGGAGGAATATAAATTGAACATATAGTTATTGTTTGATGAATTGAAGCTTTTACTGCCATGGTCTGTAGATTTGTGTTTAATTGTAGTTTTTCATGGGGTATTGATTTTTTTTAATCAATATTGAAGTAAACGCTGCCACTTGGCCTATTCTCTATTGCTGATACATTTATTTTGTGTTAAGTTTCATATCCTTTATAAGAAATGTTGTCAGTTTCCTTGAATGAGAAAAGTCTCCTGTAAGCAGATTAAATTTGGATTGTAATCTGTAAGGAGGTGTTTGATTTCCTCATAATTTGGTTTAACACCTTTATACTTCCAATGCATGATGCTTGTGTTCCATTTGACCATTTGACGGCTAATTATTTTTATTTTTCTGAGTGGATCATATGGATGACTATGCTTTTGGTTATCAATTTCCAGATATTCCAAACTTTCTATATTCTTTGTTTTTCTTCTTTCTGAACTTGTTCCTCATTGAGTTTTTGCCTATTATTAATCATATGTTTTGCCTATAGTGATCATATGTTTTGTCTATATTGATCATTGATCAATTATTATTGATCATTTACGTTCTTTTTATTTTGTTTTTTTTTCTGATTATCTTTATGCTGGTTGTTGTCCTGTTTATTGGCTTTTAATTCTGTTTCTTCTGTTTTTTTTTTGGATTTAGATTTTGTTTTCTGTTGAGGTTTGATTGATTTTTGTTGCCAGTTTTCTGTTTGATGAATTTTCCATATGAGAAGTTTTGAATGTTTTGTAGTTGAGAGATTGATATCAGTGAATTTCGTGTTGGATTTACATTGTATGGTGGTTAGTTTTGGTTCAGTGGTAGCGCTTGTTTCTGAATTTATGCATTTTAATGTTTTTTTAATTTTTGAATTAAGAATGTTCTTGTTTACATTGTAATTTGTTTGATATTAAATTTTCATGAGTATAGCTTGATATTGCTTCATTAATTTTTGCATGGAATGGTGTATCAAAGTTTGTTTTGATGCTTTTCCTTCCTTCTAAGAAAAGTATTTTTTTGGTATGTTTAACTTTTAAAATGTCTTTCTTTTTTCCAAGTTTCATAGTCCCTGGAATTTGCCCTATGGTTTTATTTGCAATTAGTGCATTTTGTATCATTTGGGTACATCATCTGTGTGATTAGGATCATTCTCCCTACATTTTTCATATACCGTCTTCCTTGTAGATTAATTCTTACTATGTCCATACCTTTGGCAATTAAAACATCGCAATGGGTTTGGAATATAGGTTTCTACTTCAGAAACTGTATATCCAATTTTTATTTCATATGATGGTTCTGGTGCATCAAAAGTAATTCTATATCTATTGGCGTCTATAATTCTATCATTTTTTAAATAAATATTTTTATATCTATAATGTTCTGTTTTTTGATAGAATTCTTTTTTTTTTTTTAACTTCATGCAGTATATACAGTGAGAGGTCAGTGCTTCTCACTACACCTTTGGAAGAATTTTCAAATTTGTGTGGTTAAACCTTTACCTTTATATCATGTAATTTGGTCCTTCCTTAGTAGAGTTTCAGTATCATGTTTTTTATTTTGTTTTTTTTTTTTGTTTTTTACTTCTATCAGTAGTGTATTATTTCTATTTCTATTTTTCTTTTTTTTAACTATTTTTGGAGTTATCAAAGATACTAAGATTATTTTCTATTACAAAAGGTGACAACTTTGTTATTAGTTTGTCTTCTGTTCAGTCTTTTACTGCGAATTTCAAATTTTTTCCTTACTTTATTTTGTGTGTCACTTTCTATGTCTGTCTCAATGTGTAGTCTCTTGTTTTTGTTTTTTTTGTTTTGGCTCATATTTTGTTTATTATTATTATTGTCCATCAGCCATGCTCCCCACCCACCTCAGAGCCCCATATGAGGGAGTTGATAAGGGGGAAAATCCCATTCATCTCATTCCTCCAGGGCTACATGACTGGTATACTCAAACATGGGGAGGGTTCCAAACACTTTGTTATATCCAAGATCATTGACCCAAGCATGAGCTTTCCTCAGAAGTTGAAACAGCCATGTCAGATTCCTTTGTTCTCAGTCAAATTAACTCTACAGCCACTGCTTACTAAGTCATCTGATATGGTAAATGTGAGTGCATTTTATTTGTTTTGTTAAACATGACTTGGGAGTTAACATGACCAGCTGGTTGATTGGATTGGGCATCTCCAACCACCCATCTAGCTCAAGTAAGAGCCAAAGAGGCGTGTTGGAGTTTAGGAGTACATGTATAGCCCAACTCCCAAAACTCAACTATCAGGATCCTGTCCTCAAGCATCATGGGTTGCCACTTATGGCAAACAGTATCTGGGAATAGATCTATAACTAGAATGAAAGACAATGTCATTAACACCACACTTAACATGAGTCTCTGGTTTTTTGACCTTTTCCACGCTTGGCAGAATGAATATAAAAGACGAACAACCAGAATAACTTTGGATAGCATATATCTTTATTTGGCAAATGCAGAAATGATTGAATTATTCAAATCAAAACAGATGTCATCTGTGTTCCTTGTGTTTTTTTTTGGCAGGTCTAAATATTCTTATATTTCCTTTTCTTTTTTGTACAGAGACTTCTTAAGAGACTTCATACTGGTAGCAGTATTTTTCTCAACCCTAATCCAGTGACTACACAATCTTTAATAATATGACTCAGTGCATAAATACTACCTGCAATTAACTGATTTTTGGCTGAGAAATTGAGCCCTTCTTTTCCACAAGTTATCGAGTAGCTAACTTGTTTAATGTGGACCAATATTAACTTAAATATCAGAAAACGTGGCTCTGGGTTCATTGAAAATTCAATGATTCAAGTGTCAACTGTATGTAAATAGTGTCATGCTGCCAGATAACAAGTGGCAGAAAACAAACTTTTTTTTATCTAAAAATGTCACATCCCTTCAGGATGTAAGCAATCATAGCTCTCTACAAATGCACATATCAACATGGTGCAATGCTTAGCAAGATTGTCTCCCTAGAACAATTACGACTAAATATTGTGTTTGATCCTTACTGGATGCCCCATACTCTTGGCCTTGTGCTACATCTAAGCCATGCTTAAAAAAAAAAAAAAAAAAAAAAAAAGACATAACTCTCCACAAATTGATTTTCTTTATTATCTGTGAATTGCCACACATTCTTTGGAAAGATAGTGGAGTAGTTTACCATTACCTCCTCCATAGATTCCTTTTCTTTATTATCTATGAATTACCATGACTTCCTGAGAAAGATAGTAGAATAGTTTCCCATTGCCTTCTTCACAGATTTCTTTTCTTTATTATATGTAAATTTCCATGACTTCTTGGGAAAGATAGTGGAGTAGTTTCCTATTGCCGTTTACATAGATTCCTTTTCTTTATTATATGTAAATTTCCATGACTTCTTCGGAAAGACAGTGTAGTAGTTTACCATTGCCTTCTCCACAGATTCCTTTTCTTCATTATCTATGAATTGCTAAGACATCTTGGAAAAGGTAAATTTGTTTTTTAAGCCCTGTGCTAAATATCTATTAAATTTTTCTCAAATTGTCATATTTTCGTGTAAATGAATATGTTGGACTTGAATTAACAATTAAATAATGATAAAACCTACTATTTTGGAGTTATTGACAAGAAAAAAATCGGACTATGTCTAGGTAATTCATCTGCTATTACCGGCATTGTTTTTACTAATTTAGCACAAAGCATTTCCTTCGCACAAGCGTAAATTTTGGCCTATTTACTTCTTTTACAGAATTTTGTCACAGAAATCACTACACACTACCATAAAGCAATGTATTTTGTTAATTATGCTCTTTACAAAGTTCACATGTGTGTGAACTTTGTAAAGAGCATGATTATCTACAAAATAAAATTACAAAATAAAAATAATGTTAGAAACAAAATAATAATTAATTTGTGAACTTTGTAAAGAGGATGATTAATTACAAAATAAAAAAAATGCTAGGAATGAGCATTTTGTTTTATTTTGTAAATAATCATGCTCTTTACAAATTTCATGCAAAGTTTGCGCATTATTCGTTTTATTTTTGTTTGTTTTAATTGAAAAAATACTTTAATATATTATTTAATTTGTTCTTTTGTCATTGCTATTCTATATGAAAAAAAAGGTTCCATTGTATTATTTAATTTGTTTAAACTTTTATGTTATAAATAAAACTACCCTTATCAAAAAAAAAATATACATTGCTTTACGGCAGAGATTTCTGCGACAAAATTCTGTAAAAATAAACAGGCCAAAATTTACACTTGTGCAAAGAAAATGCTCCGCGCTGAATTAGTAAAAACAATGCCTGTGATAGCGGATGAATTACCCAGACATAGTCTGATTTTTTCTTGTCGATAACTCCAAAATGGTATGTTTTATCATAATTGTTAATTCGAGTTCAGTATGTTCATTTACACGGAAACATGATGATTTGAGAAAAATTTAATAGATATTTAGTGCGGGGCTTAAAAAGCAAATTTACCTTGGAAAAGATAGAGTGGTTTCTCATTGCCTTCACCTTGATCTGGGATTCAGTTTGCCTTCTCTTATACTGGATGCAACCAAGGCTATACTACTTTTAACCCATAGCTGGGAGAGAACAGAAAGATTCATATCTTTCCCCAAGGGCCTTTGTACAAAGTGAGTATAGCAGACTAACTGAATTTGGATTCACTTATCTGATTCCTCTTTCCATGAAAATAACCATTACACTATTCACACATCCAGCAATAGCTACGGAAAAAAAAAAAAAAGAAATTTATGCAGCTCAAGGCTCTTTAAGAAATTTGCAAAAATTGATGTTGAAATGTTTAGTAGGCTATAGAATAGAAAGAAACAAAACCAAAAAAGGTGTTGGTGGTGGTATATTTGGGAGAGAACAAAATCCCCTAAGAGGGTTAAAGTCTTAATTTTTAGGAAACAAACAGCAGCCATAATAAAGAGAAAAATTTTCAGAGTGAAAAACTCGATGACTGGACACAGAGTAAAACTACTAGTCAAGTTGCAGGCATGTGAAACGAATTTATGCCAACTGCCTGCTACAACTATTTGATCTCAGGATACAAGACTGATTGATTCCACTAAGAATAGTTAGGAAGTAAAGCAGGCAGGTACATTGGCATAGGGGGTGGAGTGGGCGTTATAGCTGCTGGGGGTTGAGAGAATTTTCTTACGTAATTAGGTTGCATCAGGAGAACAGCAAGGAAAGTAAAAGACAATAATGGAATTCAAAGTTTTTTTGTTTTTTTTTTAAACAGAATTAGGTGAAGTGTTCAGTATCTCCATGGCTTTGATTGCATAACAGAAGAGGAGGTGAATAGAAATTAGTAATTTGAAAGTGGTGGTGGTAGTATCAGTAGTAGAGGTTTGAAACCAATTATTGTTCATAACCCACATTTTATTCTAAAGTGCTGAAATGTGGGAATATCCTAATATAATTCATTTTTTTTTTGGTATGTGTGTGGGGGAGGGGGTCTCCATGCTTCTCTACAGCAATCTCCTCTTTAATAGCTATAAATTGCCATGACTCATGAGAATGGTTTTCTGTTGCCTTCTCCATTGTTTTGAATTATTATTCTCCTAGACTGATTATCCTATCAATGTGATACTGATAGTCTATACTATTGTTTTCCTCATAGCCTAGAAGACGAGATGGATTTGTGCATTTCTCAAGTGTAGAAATGCAAAGAATCTGAAGTCAACTGCTGAATAAAATTATTTACATACCAATAAGTAATAGGTCACCCAGATACCCCATTTTTGGGTACTTAAACAAGGATTTCCAACCTCCACCACAGAAAAGTTTATACTTTTGAATGATTGCAAAGAAAACAATGTATCTGTGTGTCTATGTTAGTAGGTTTGGTCTGGTATGAAGCTAAATAACGGTAGTCAAGTATGGAATTGGGTGTAAGTCTAATGACATTGGGAGTTGGCGGGGAGAGAAAGGAGAGAGAAAAGAAAAAGAGAGAGAAAAAGAAAAAGAGAGAGAAAAAGAAAAAAGAAAAGAAAAAGAGAGATAAAAGAGAGAGAAAAGAGAGAGAGATAAGAGAGAGGGAGAAGAGAGAGAGAGAGAGAAGAGAGAGAGAGAAAAGAAAAGGGAGATAGAGAGGAGAAAAAATAAAAAATATCATTAGCACCAGTGGGGGTGGGCGTGGGGGTGTGTGGGGGCGGTGTCGTACAAACTATTTCAGCCAATAGTTGCTTCTAGACACTTTGTGCATAAAATTTCCAAATGAAGCTAAATGAAAATTATAAAGCCAAAATCTGTAGTGAAGCTACCATGAAACTGCAGACATCAAGAAATGCACAGTCTGTTCTTTTTGCCAAATACAATAAGAGATACAAATCAATAACTTGACAGATAAAAAAGAAGAAATAAAAGCACAATCATACAGCATGTACAACCCCCATTTTCAGTAAAAGCCCAAGTAGCAAATTTGGAGATTATTCCATCTATAAAAAGGTCAAAGCTGTTTATATATGATTTATAGCTAACATCTGATCCTATGCACTCCAGAAAAGACCTGGAAAAGTTCAACAAATTCAACTGCTTTATTAATTTGCATTCTTAAAAAAATATAAAATAATAAAAAAAAAACAAGAAATGAAAAAAAAAAAATTTAGTGGCCTTTTTGGGTCCAGGAAGCAGGAAACAAAAAGAAAAATTGGATGCTTACGGGTGGAAATCACTTCACTAGTGAGAAGAGGAATCGCATCAAATGACGAAATGTTGGCATTGCATTTGTTGCCATGACAACAACAATAAAGTGCATTGGTATATTTTTGGGATGCATGACCATTGAAGCGTGGTTTGGGGGTGCATTCCCCACTGCAATCATTTACTTCTGAATAACCCCAACAATCTGTAAGAAGAAAAAGAAAAAAAATTCCATGAAAAGACAACGCCAAGAACCTGTAGAATAATTTTGGTTCATCAATCTATCTTTTTGCCACAATTTAATCTCACCACATTTCATTAATTCTTTCCTCGGGCCGCACAAGCCATAAGGGAATAGATGAACTCTTCTTGTAGCTGTGTAAAGCATAAGACAAAAAATAGAAGCAAATCAAATTTTCTAAAATTTAATTTAAGCAACAATGAGAAAACATGGATAAACATGCCCACAATAAGACGGTGTCAGAAGGATGTTTTTTTTTTACTATGACACTGCTATTATTTTAACTACCTTCACTCCTTGGCAATGTTTTTTATTTTAAAAAGCAATGATTAGAATTATAAAAAACCTAAACATATGAAGGTGAAATTATACATTTTCTTAATTCTTGAGAATTTACAACAAAAATAAAAACACTATAAAATTGTTTATTTACACTGTTATATTATTTATTGGAATAGTGGGCAAACGATTAGCTAATTACCAATTAATTTAAACTTTATATAATGATAAATAATAAGGATTTCCTTATAGTTAGTGCACATATTTTAGTAATTTAGTAAATGTTTGTAGATTTATGAATAAAATTATGTTTTCATAATTATTTCTTTATAAATTTGTAAATGATAAATATTGCATTGCATTAGTTCTAATTGTATTAGTTCTAATTGTATTAGTTTTTAGAATTTTGTTCTTATAAAATTATTCCTGAAAATAATCTAATAGTGTTTAATATTTTTTATGTAAATACTCAAGAACAAAGAAAATGTATAAATTGACTTTCATCATATGTTTAGGTCTTATTCCAATTCTAATCATCGCTTTTTAAAATTAATGAAGAATAAAGGTAGTTAAACAAATGGTGCCATGGGAAAAACCATCTTTTTGACACAATATTTTATTGTGCAGGCATACAAGTCCATGTTTGCCCAACAATGGTTATAATTTTTTTTTTTTTGAGGAAGACTATACAATAGATTTACTGAAATGTGTTGGCTACATCCAAGATAGAAAATATTCTTAATAAAAAAATATTTACAGACAATAAATTCATGCTATTTGGATAGAGTAATAACATATTAGAAAAAAATAAAAAACCTATGAAGAAATGAGAAACACTTTGAATGATAAATGTTTTAGTTAAGGAGAATGGTATTTTCAAAGATTGTTGAGTCTTTTAGTTCTGGCAATGGAGATTCCATTCCAAGTGTGACCAAGTTAGTTTTTTTTTGTATTTTTTGTGTTTTTTTTTTAACATATAACATCTATCAGAGAAAGGAAATTTAAATTTTTATTATTGCATTTTTCGCAAATTTTAAAACATCAGCAGATAGCTATTAATGTCAACAACTGAACACAAATAATTATTAAGAAAATTAGTAATTAATGTATAATATTTTCCATAACTACATGTACAAGAATGTTGTTTTTGATGAAAGATAAAAAATAACCATAAATACGTAAAAAAATGTGTATATTGTCGAAAACTCCTGTCACAGTCTGTTAATCATTTCACCCCAAGCAAGTGATAATGCCACTAAGACATAAGAGGTTACTGGGAGAGAAAATAAAAATGAGGAGACTTTAGGAGCAGGAACAGGAAACAAGGGATAAACCTCTACTCCTGTTCAAAAAACAGGGAAGGAGTGTGAACTGGGCAATAGATGAATCTACCTACCCTGAAGTGTAGAAAGAAGATTTCCTCAAATAAAAAAAAAAGTTTTTGCATTGTTGGTTTCTAATTTATATAATTATACAAACATGCTCATTGTTATTGCCAACAATTTTATAGAATTACAAGCATTTGTATCTATTAAGCATTGAAAGTGCGAGAAATTTGCATCATTCACAGTTGACTGATAGAACTGCAATGTGATTGTCACTTAGACTTAGTGAGTAAAACTTCTTTATTTTCTTTTTAAATCTATGTCCTTTCAGAACATAAATATTCATAGCTCTCTACAGATTCTTCTATAATTTTTATATTATTGTCAAATGCCATGACTTCTTGGGGAAGATAGTGAAGAGGTTTCTTGTTGCTTTCTTTATTGTTTGTAATTCAGAGTTGTCTTTCTCCTAATCTGGCTGCCATTCAAGGCTAGAGAGCACTGTGTAATTCATAGTGGGGAGATTCATTCTTTTCCCAAGTTCATTAGCATGAAAGTGAATTGACTTTCCCAGACATTGAACATGTCTCGATTACACTTTCTATTAAACTACCTTCTCATTCAGGTAAAATATTACATATGTATATTGTCCAACTCTATTTCTAATTAGAATTAGTGTATATTCACTAATACAGATATTTATTCTGTGATCTAAAAAACATTTTGGCAAAGTATTTACTGAATTTTGGCAATGTATTCTGTTGCAAAGTCATTTGAGTACATTCATGATTTTATACATGAAAAATATAAAATAATTTTAGGTTTTTTTTTTTTTGTAAAACCACTGGTTTCTTTTACTTCTTTTTCAAAGTCTGCATATTTGACATCAAAGAAGATCTTTATTTTATATCTTAGAGTAAATTTCAATTTTAGGAAATGGAACTACATTTCAAGAAACTGACAGGAATGGGAGGTGAAAATTCAATAATCAAAGCAAAGAATTCAATTCTATGACAGTGTATAACAATAGTTTATTTTTTTTTTTTTTTTTTATTGGAATTAACAGAACAAAAAGAAAAAATGTTGGTGGAGGTGATGATAACGTTATCTATATAACATGAAAATGATTGAAGAAATTCTTTCAAATTTGTTTTTTTTTTTTTTTTTTTAAATAATTTGCATCAAAATAATGCATAAATTGCAGAGAAATATAAAAGAGAAAATGAAAAGAGATTTTGAAAAAAACATTACATTTTTATTTTCCTTTTGTATTTTAAACAAAACTATAAAGCTTCAATGAACAACAACAAAAAAAGTTCATGTGCTTTGAAGATGGAATTGGTCATTTCATCATTTTCCAACTCATCAGTCTTTGGCCTTTTGCCTTGCAAAATAAGTTTTACTACTTGTTTTTGTTTTAGGTTTTTAATTTCCCCTCAAGCAAGCCACTATGACACAAGGGGTTTATCAAGTGTGAGAGAATGTAAGAGATTATTAAGCAAAGAGAACAAAAAAAAGAACAGAAAGGAGAGGAAAGAATGAAAAAAAAGAACAGAAAGGAGAGGAAAAGAATGAAAAAAAAAGAACAGAAAGGAGAGGAAAGAATGAAAAAAAAAGAACAGAAAGGAGAGGAAAAGAATGAAAAAAAAGAACAGAAAGGAGAGGAAAAGAATAAAAAAAAAGAACAGAAAGGAGAGGAAAAGAATGAAAAAAAAGAACAGAAAGGAGAGGAAAAGAATGAAAAAAAAAGAACAGAAAGGAGAGGAAAAGAATGAAAAAAGAACAGGAAGGAGAGAAAAAGAACGAAAAAAGAACAGGAAGGAGAGGAAAGAATGAAAAAAAAAGAACAGAAAGGAGAGGAAAGAATGAAAAAAAGAACAGAAAGGAGAGGAAAAGAAAAAAAAAAAAAAAAGAACAGAAAGGAGAGGAAAAGAATGAAAAAAAAAGAACAGAAAGGAGAGGAAAAGAATGAAAAAAAAAGAACAAAGGAGAGGAAAAGAATGAAAAAAAAAAGAACAGAAAGGAGAGGAAAGAATGAAAAAAAAAGAACAGAAAGGAGAGGAAAAGAATGAAAAAAGAACAGGAAGGAGAGAAAAAGAATGAAAAAAGAACAGGAAGGAGAGAAAAAGAACGAAAAAAGAACAGGAAGGAGAGAAAAAGAACGAAAAAAGAACAGGAAGGAGAGAAAAAGAACGAAAAAAGAACAGGAAGGAGAGAAAAAGAACGAAAAAATAACAAAAAGGAGAGAAAAAGAACGAAAAAATAACAAAAAGGAGAGGAAAGAATGAAAAAAGAACAGAAAGATTTATAAAATCACAGAAATTTCCCTTTTGGCTTAATAATCATCATTTGCCTATAGAAGGAATTTAAATAATACTGGTAGTTTCTCATAATTAATCTCATCACTTAATACTTTGTTTTCCTCCCTTCTAAGGCATCCCTTGCTATTCCAATGTACCTTCAGATTTCTAGGTCATATTTTAATAAAATATATTTAAGCTGCTTTATTTTCTTACAGCTAGGTATTTACAGAATGTAAGAGTCAAAGTTGAGGTTGGACCATTTAATTGGTTAATAATAAATAATTGGTCATCCACCAATTAACGTGTTTTTATATTTTGTGATCCTCATCTCTTAAATCCCAGAAATTTTATTACTGGCTTCAGAATCATCATTTTTCTTAGACTAGGAATGAATTTGAATAATATTCTCAAAATATTTTCTTACTTTTGTTTTTGTCAGTCTTTGTTGAGAATAATTTTTCATAATATTGTGTTTAACTTCAAGGCATCTTTAACTCATGCGGCTTTATTTTCTTACGAGTAGAGACTAACAAAACATAAGCGTTATTCAAGTAGTGGTTGTGCTAATTATCTGGCTGATAAAAATTGGTCATATAGGATTTGCTTCTCTACTTTGAGTGGACTGGGCCTTGTATAGGGTGAACATTAAAAAAAAAAAAAAAAAGTAAAAAAAATAAAAAAAATGCCACTTAATCAAGTTTTCATAATTGGTCATTTTTGCCATTTTTTTTTTTCATTTTAGCCAATTTAGATTAAGAGTAATTAACAATTAGCAAGTGAGAAATTGCTGAAATCCAAGTCAATAGTAAATCAGAAACAAAATATAATAAAAATGCCACGTCTTTTCAAAACTTTGGCAATCATGATCCTGCCAGATGCATTCCTTTTATCATCGTCATCTGTGTATTACCATTCACTTTTGGAAAATATAGTGGTTTCCCATTGCCTATGCTGCCATAGTTTAAAATTAAGAGTTGTCAATCTCTTAGACTGATTGCCGCTCAACAGTACAGCCGACCTTGCTATTTAACCTGTAGCAATTGAGAGAAAATGTAGATTCATGCTTTTCCCAAGTTCATTAGTGAAAAAAATGAAATGCAACAGGCTTGGCTGGAAATTGAACTCTGCTCTATTCACACATCTCCTTTCAGGTTTTGTTGTAAATCTTTACAATGAAAAATGAAATGCAACAGGTTCAAGAATAAAAATAAAGTGAAGCTTAGGTCAAGCAGCAGCATTCATTTTCACATCAATTAGGTTTAAGGTTGCAATTTCTCCACTCAAAACTGTCCTCGTGGATTAAAGTGTTGATTCATGAATTTGGTGATATAGTAATTATGAGTTCAATCCTTGCATTTTTCAGTGGAAACAGGGGGTCAATAACTGAGTAGTTCCTGTATAAGAACTAGATGAGATATCCTTATACACGGGCAGTGGAATGAGAATGATCTACCCCATCGATTAAATAAAAGATTCCATTTGACATTCCTTGAAAGTTACCCAGATTGATGAGCATCTGATGAAGGTTAGGGAGCATAACAGATGAAACATTTGTGATAACAGCAACAAAGAGGGGAAAAATAGTGGGCCTGTTATTTAAATTATTTAAATAACAATAACTCATCATCCTGTAAATTCTGACAGAAAGTTTCAATGATATCAAAAGATGCAAAATAAAAATTCCATTCACATATCTAGAGTGAAGCTGGTAAACACTATTGGTGGAAAAGCCTACCTGTCAAACATTTGAGGGAAACTATAAAATGAGGAATAGAACAAAAAAAGAGAAAAAGAGAGAGAGGAGAGAAAAAGAGAGAGAGGAGAGAAAAAGAGAGAGAGGAGAGAAAAAGAGAGAGAGGAGAGAAAAAGAGAGAAAAGAGAGAGGAGAAAGAGAGAGAGAGAAAAAGAAAAGAGAAAAAGAGAAAAAAAAAAAAAAGAAAAAAAGAGACGAAAAAGAGACGAAAAAGAGACAAAAAAGAGAAGCAAAAGAGACGAAAAAAGAGAAGCAAAAGAGTAGAAAAAAAGAGAAAAAAGGAGAGAAAAATAGAAAAACAGAAAAAAGGGAAAAAACAGAAAGAAAAAAAACAGAAAAAAGAAAAAACACAGAAAAAAGAAAAAAAACACAGAAAAAAGAAAAAAAAACACAAAAAAGAAAAAAAAACACAAAAAAGAAAAAAAAACACAAAAAAGAAAAAAAACACACTGCCCACTGTAAAGAATTCACAGTAGATGTTCTTTTACCATAGTACAGCACTTTTGTTTTTATTTTTCCTCTCATTTATCCCCCTTTTAGTACATTTTTTATTGTCACCATTTTTACCACTTCTTGTTTAATCTTCAGTAACTGCTTGGAATTGGTACAATAAAGCACAATATCAAAGCATGCAGTTCCTACTTTCCTATCCTTGTAAATCCATCCCCAACAATAGCATCACCAGTATGTAACTTTCTAACCTATTTCTTACTGCATTGGTCTTAATATCTTATTTGAATAGTTGTTTAAGGTACCCACCTTGTATACATTTTTTTTTTTTTTTGGTCCCTTTCACCATATGTGGTTTGGTTTGGTTTGTTTTGTTTTAAGGCATATCAACCTCGATGAGTCATTTAATGCCGATAACTTTTTTTTTCCAGTTAATATTTTTGTTTTGTCAAAAATCTGTTTCTGGAAATATTTTTTTCTTCAAAAACATATTGCTGGTAATATTATTTTCAAAAACATATTGCTGGTAATATTATTTTCAAAAACATATTGCTGGTAATATTATTTTCAAGAACATATTGCTGGTAATATTATTTTCAAGAACATATTGCTGGTAATATTATTTTCAAAAACATATTGCTGGTAATATTATTTTCAAAAACATATTGCTGGTAATATTATTTTCAAGAACATATTGCTGGTAATATTATTTTCAAAAACATATTGCTGGTAATATTATTTTCAAAAACATATTGCTGGTAATAGTTTATTTTCTTCAAAAATTTATTTCTGGTAATAATTTTTTACAAAGTATTTCTGGTATTAAAATGTATTTTTGCACTTTCAAAATGCTTTTTACTTCAATTTTGGAATTAACTATTTGCCCATAGCTGGGACCCTAACAGGTGCTACCACCCCCTGGTCAGGGTGGACCTGGGAACACCAGCAATTAAGAGGTGGTTCCATGCTCGTCAAAACCTCCTGATCAGAGGCCTTGCTGTCAGACGTAGTTTAACGTCTTACCCAGGACGGTTCACCATATGTTGACTTGTCATACTGTAATTTCATGTAAATTTCTTCTTTTCTGTAGACTTATCACTGTAAACTGGAAACTAAACTTAAACTTCATTTAAGCAAACTACTTACTTCAACCATTTAGACCATTCATCTGCAATCATGTCCAGCCTTCGATTCTTTGTCAAAAATTCTTCTTTCCATTCCTTTTTAACATTTTATTTATTTTGTTATTTGGACTGAATTCGTCATAAGACATTCTCTGTTTTTGTGTTAAATTCGGATTACTAACGCAAAAACAGAGAATGTCTCATATCGAGAATATTTAACATTGAACATAAGGAAAAAATTAATTATTTTTAATAATATGTGGAAATCTCCGCTTTTACCTGAAGACAGTTGCGAGACCAAAAACACGTGTAAAAAAAATTATGTAAAACAAAGCATAATATTTTTTCTAAATAAATCCACATTACAACCAAAAATGTTTGCGGCACCTCTCTTCTCTTCTTTTTTAATATACATACTTTTCTCTCGTTGGAACCACTACAACCTCTTTCTTTTTTTATATATATATATATATATATATATATATATATTATATTATATTATATTATATTATATATATATGGTTTCATGATAAATATATACAAGTGTATCTTTAGATAATCTTTGCTTGTTTTCACTCCAGCTTGATATTTTGCCAGGCCCTCAAAGAATTATTGGATTAGGGTTAGAGATTTCAACAACCTAAAATGTAACACAAAAGGAAGTGGGTACATGTATGCACACACACACACACGTAAGCCAAATTCTTCCAAGGAATCTAATGCCATTGCCCTGGTGACATAAGAATTTCAAAAGATAGGAAATAAAAAAAAAAAATAAAAATTCTGGTTTATCTCAATGATGAATATAATTAGAAAAAAAATAATCTTCACTTTGAAGAAATGTCTGACGCTGCTGTCCCATGAGGGGTCGGAAGGGGCTGTGGGAAAGAATGGGTTGCCCTCTACTATCGCCACTCAATACATACACATGAGAATTACCATGTCTCCATGTAAATATAGTGAATAGAAAAAAAAAATAATAATGATGATGATAATGGAAATAGGGGGCAAGGGGAGGAGATGTTGAAGTGGGGAAGAGGTGAGGAAGATGATGTGCAGTGAGAAGTAGGAGGATGTGAAGGGAGAAAGGGTGCAAGATGTAAAGGGAGAGGAAGATGTGAAGAGGACAAAAAAACTGAGAGTAAGAAGTTCAAAAAGCCATCTATTTTATTTTTATATCCAGTTTTTCCCTTCTATCTGCTTACAATCCAAAATGAACTTTTTATTGCCGAGTAAACCAAGAACAGACCATTCTTAATCAATTTGTTGCAGAGACGGTTTCATTCATCGCCCAACTAAATCTGGCCACAATACATCAAACACTACCACTTGTCTGACCAGCAAATTCCACTCCTAAATCCTAATAATCAGCTAATCAACCATCAAGGAAAGCAAATCAAATGTTGAATCTCATTATTGAGGGGTTTTATGGC